CACCACGCTCCCTAGCCCAAAAGATCGTCCAAACCACCTCCGGTCTTGCCTGCAGTCGAGCCACCATATGCGCTGCTCGCCCGGCTTGTCCCACTTGCCGCAGGCGCGCCCCAAATCCCAGCGCTGGCCTTTTCCTTTGCTAATGATTGCAAGCTTGGGGAGTTGCTATTATTCACTGGGGTACTGGGCTTTTTAATATCTTTACTTGCCATGCTCCAGATATTGCCAAATGCATCATTTGTCGATTTTTTCGCGGCCGTTGCAGAAGCGCCTGTTGATGCTGGAGAAAGGGGAGTACCACTAGAGATAGTCGTAGTGGACATCGAAGTAAAGTAGTTGGGTTGTGTTGGCTGGTAGCCCGTAGGAGCCGTGCTTACAGGCTTCATTGCCGCCATACCACCCATGCCGCCCATACCGCCCATACCGCTCACACTGCTCATACTGCCCATACCGCCCATCCCGGCGAGTCCACCGCCAGTCGATGCAGGTGTCATAGCTGGAGGAGAAGCCATGCCCCGAGCAGGCGCAGGAGAGATAGAGGCTATACCGACGAGATCATTGATACCCATTGCTTGTCCAGCACTCATTGGAGTGGGTTGCATAAGCTTTGTAGAAGATGCGGAAGCAGTAAGAGGTGGAAGTGGACTGAAGGTTTTGGGTGCTGCTGTCGGGGGTGCCTGAAAAGTAGCCGGAGCCGACGGAGCAGCGCCAGAGGCAGATTGAAAATCATCAAAGTCGTCATCATCGGCTCCGCCGGACTGTAAAGTTCCAAAATCGTCATCAAGAACACTTGTGGTTTGTTTTTGCTTGGAACTGGAAACAGTGGGTGTCGGCTCGTCACCAAAAGAAAAGAGATCAACTTCTGGCTCTTTCTTCTTCGGGGGTTTGGCAGGTGCAGCCGCAGGTTCCTTTCGCCTGGTGCTTGAGCTTGCCCCTGACCGCCGCGTTGCTGTTGCCCCATCGTCATATTCATCATACTCCTCAAACTTTTGGGTTCTTGATGAAGGCCTGGAACTTCCCTCATCATGAAACCCGCCAGTACGCCCTCCGAAACCACCCCCATCGCCGTAGACCCCCCCAGAGTAGCCACCAAACTCAGAACTTTCGCTACCAAAGCCGCCATATCTCCGCCCAAAGCCATTATCACCACCCATTCCGCTGCTGCTGCCGCCCATTCCTCCGTAAGCACCGCCACCACCTTCAACACCCCCGTATTTATTTTTAGAGGCACGGGCTTTTTTGCGCTCTTGGCGGATACGATCAACATCCGATAGAAGCTCGGCAAGCTCTTTCGCACGGTTGCGAACATTTATTCCTTGATCCTTACCATTCATATCAATAAAGTGGAATTGCCGGAGCATTTTGATAGTTGAGAGATGAGAGCGGCCGTCATCGATAACCTGCTCAGACCCGTGCTTGACGAGGTACTCTAAGAGTTGAAGGGCCTGGAGTGAAGGTGTTAAAATGGCTATTCGCCCAATTTCCAGCAAAAATAAACAGGTGTGTATTAACCTTATAGATTTGTCTCCACTCCTCCGCAGATTTCTCTGTGAACCTTTTGTAAATCATTGGCATTATCTCGTTCAAGAGTTGACTGCAAGAAAGGCCTCAAATGTAAGCTTTCATGTGCGCATCACAGTGTACGGTTTGGAACGGAACCCACTAGTTGTATGTACCACTTGCAATCTCTTGCATCAGTGTAGATGAAGCACCCCATGGCTCATTATTCGTTGCTTCCCGGACCTGTTCGTTGTCAGAAAGCTTATTCCGATGACCGCCGATCTTTCTCCCCTATTATCCCACAAGGAAGTCCGGGGGAAGAAATTACCTTTGCTTCCATCTCTGTGTAGTTCATGACAACTATTTACACCATCGCTTTAGAAATTGCTTGATTTGGCACCTTATCCAGGTGGATTACTAGCTCTTCATAGGGGGTAAGGGCGGGGGATAAGAACAACTCACCATTCTGGGCCTTTCTCACGGCGGCCTTTACATCGTATAGGGAAATGTTTTGGATAGTGTCGCGAAGATTATCGAGATTCATGATGGGCAGCCTGTGCTCTGCGTGGATCGATAGGAAACTATGGGTTATAGAGAGAAGCCCGTGTTGGTGATGGTAGAATTGGAAACAGTTGTCGACAGTTGTCGAACTTCCGGTGGTAGCTACTCTAGTTGCTGACTGGCTAAATTTAGTGACACGTGACTTTCTTGGCTTGAGTCCTTGAACTTGGACTTCGTGGTAAAGAAATGCATCAATTCGATTATCAACTTGGGGGGATTGACGTTCCGAGATTTGATGGATTAGATCAGTCCAATAACTCTTTTGTTTATTTATTTCATAGCTATCAGATTCTAATACTGTCTGTCCACTCTTGATGCGATCGTTGTGGCTTCTTCCCCACATGTTGCATTGCATTTGTTTCTGCACCCAATTGTCGTATCCCCTTATCGACACTTCTTGCATGTTCAATGGTGGCACGTCGCATAAACTATGAAACCGAGGAAATCCGAGTGATGCAGCGGCCACCAACCGGTTTCCATTGAGATTGGATCTTGAAGCTAGGTACTGCGGGGGCCACCTGTTGCTCCAAGTGTCCCTCAAAGGCATTTGTCAGAGGCCTATTTTAGACGCTTATCTTTTTTTCTCGGAGAGAGTGAGATCCTCCCCGCAAACCTTCTGTAGGCGGGCTACATGCCGTTCGACTATCGGAGCTGCATCAAAAAAAAAAAAAAAAAAAAAAAATCGACATTGGAGACCTGCTACATGTATTCACATCGTACCGCTTACATCACTAGTGGCATCGGGGAAGGTCAATATTTATCTGGTCTGTTTCAGGTGGGGATATGCTTGATCGCGAACATAGCCATCATTGGCCTGCCGGATACATTTGTACCCACAGTAGGTACTGTACTCCCATAGGAACAGAATATCGAGATCGTTAAAAGAAAAAGGCGGTGGCGTGCTCCAAGTACCAAAAGGCAGTATTCGGTCCAATGATGAGTACATGTACTTCATAATCTGGCGCGCGGCGTCTTGAAGTTTAAGTCGCTCAGCCGATCGAGGGAAAAGACTAAAACATTTTAATAAACATCGTCTTTTTTATCCCCGAACCTGTGTTAGCCAGTACTTACATGGAAGTACCTACATGTAGAGTATCTCATCTCAGACAAATACTGCATATGCATGTGGGTCCAATTCGCGTTACTTTGGTGTCCTCCACTACATGAACGTCCGGTCCGCATCGTGGCCCATGAAATCGGTACCCTATGCTTGGGAAACAGCTGCCAGCAGGTACCAACTTTCAGGGATAGTCTGTCGAGGGGGAAAAAGACAGATGACATTTCAGGTACCTAGCCAATGTCATAAGAGGTTAAAACAATTCCAGAGGCGTGAAAAAGAATTGGGGGAAAAAAAGAAATAAACCTCTCGAGATAAAAAATCCTTTTTGTGCTAGTTTGTGCATTAGGAACTGCGGAAATTTAAGGCTGTGCTATGTACCACAGTGGTGGCGATTTTGGTGGCGTTTGCTATCAAAACAATTTCAAAAAATATCTTTGGTCTTGAGTGACAACACTTTGGCAAGATCTAGAGTTACTACTAGTAGGGAATTCTCACCGCATGATAGACAGTACTGGGTTAATACTCTTGTAGATACGTGCACGTTGTAGAGTACAAATACATGTATGTAGTAGAGTAATGTGTACATCTACGCATGTATAGCACAGTATCTCCATGTACTTACACGTGCAAACAAATTACAGTTACAAACTCTCCCCCGAATTCCGGGGCCGTGTCGATCTCTTTGAGTATAATAGAGTAGGTACTATGAGCATAGAACTTTACTTAAAGTTGACGTTTATTGATAGGTATACTTCATCTGGCGGGGTTTCTTGGTTTACCGAGTAGGTGCCTCTTATGTAGCAGCTGGAGAGAGAAACATCGAATGATAGCTGAAAGAGTGTCGTCAGGGTGTTCACAGATCCCTGTCTGTTTACCTTCTTTGCATGATGACGCAAAGCTGAATGGATTGACCTCGCTTTCTTTTCTTTTTCGTTTCTTCGCGTGGGCAGAAAGGTTGCGTGCGTTATCGTGGTCTCCCATGCTGCAGTCTAGAGTAGAGTCGAGATAGACCTGTCTCGTTGTTGCGTATGTGACAGTGCATTGGGTAGGGTCGGGCATGCAGATAGACACTTTGGACAAGAGACAAGCAAGGAACAAGCAGACGTAGGTTTACGAGTACTCTTTGGTGGTGAGCTATTAAGTGCATGTCGTTGTCTACAAGGGGGAGATTGACTTCCAGTGAAGAGGACCACACAAAGAGAGGAACATTTCGAAAGTAAAAGATTGGCAAGAAACCTGGCAATGGGCATTGGGAAGTGCTGCGTGGGTGGATCTTGATGGCTGGGGATGTTTTGGCGACTGGGATCTGGATAGACTACGTCGTCACCACTTGCTGCTCCACCACCATCACTTCAAGCAGAGCGTATTTTGACCTTTTGTGTGTGTGTGTCTGAGACCTGCTTTTTAATTCATTTTACTGTTTGGTGTTTAGTCCTACCTTGCTTCATTTCAGTCCAGCAGTTATCCTGCATCCGTCCTTCCTTGTGCTATTTCCTTTCCCTACTTGACTGTCTCCCCTCCCGCCTCGATTTTCCCTTCACTTCCCCTCCAACCCTCTTTTATCTTCTTGCCTTCTGTGTTGCAATTGTCTTCTTTCAGATCATCCCGTCCCCAGATTGGTGAACCACCACTCGTCATCTTCACACAAGGGAGGCATCACGTTATCAATACTTCAATTCTATATTCGTCAAACACAATACCTCCTTATCATCGCCGGTTGAGCCATTCGTTGCCGTCGACATAAAACCCCTAATCGCTCGACCTTCACTCTCCTTCATTCTCACCACAAACCGTTCTCACGACAATTTCTCCTCTAATTTCACTGGGAAAGACGCAATATCCCTCACTCCACTCACAAGTCAATTAGTTTGACTTGAGAATGGCGGATTCTGTTTCTCCGCCGGGTTCTTGGGCTGAACACCACGAGGATGCCAAAGTAGAGGAGCATCAAATTGCAAAGGACGCGAGAAATAAGGGGGCAGATGTATTTGAGTTTGACCCAAACGCAACACCTCAACAGAAAGCAGAGCAAGTGAAAAAGGTACGCCCTCAAATCCCTAGGACGCCAATGAACCATGCCGTAGATCATGAGGCCAGTGGCCAGTGGCATAGTAGCTAAATAGGACCATTGACTTTTTTATTTTCCCACGAGTTAGGCCATTCCTGCAGGACTAAATTTGCCATCACTTTCATCGCTCAAACCAGCTGCACCCATCGTCACCACAGATATTGTAAGTTTTCCCGGGGGTGCTCCATATCGACGCTTCAACTTGAGCATGTGAACCAAAGTTTACTTATTGGCTATATAGGGGACGAACGGAACGAACGGAACGAACGGTGCCCTCAAAGCATCAAACGGAGTAAATGGGGGAAATGGGTCAGTAGCACCAACCCCTACATCGGCTGTGGCACCTAAAGACCCGGCAATGGTGAATGGATTCCCCAAAGCTGGCGATGGGGAATGGAGTCGCGTTGGATGGGAGCCTAGATTTGGCAGTTTAAACGATGCACTTGGTTTAGACGACGCTGCTCAAAACCACCAAACGTTTGTGGAAGCCAATTTAGACGACAAATTCTTCGGAGGTGAGTTTTTTGGAGCTAGAACCTCCATTGTGTAATATTCTAATTATTTTGACTAGATTGGTATCATAATGCGGGCATCATATTGTTCACATCTCTTGCAACCTGGTTTTTGACTCTAATTGGCGGTGGTATTGGTTGGATTATGATTATCATGGCATGTTGTGCAACCTACTACCGAACTTCGATGATGCGTGTTCGTCGTAACGTCCGGGACGATTTAAATCGCGAATTCGCAAAACAAAGATTGGATACCGATGTCGAGTCTCTCGAATGGATCAACTCATTTACCGTCAAATTTTGGCCGATCTACCAGCCCGTACTCGCCGCGACAATCGTTAACACGGTTGACCAAGTTTTGGCTGGGGCAACTCCTGGTTTCATCGATTCGCTAAAACTGACCACATTTACCCTTGGAACAAAGCCACCAAGAATTGAACATGTAAAAACCTACCCAAAGACGGATGACGATACTGTGGAAATGGACTGGAAGTTCAGTTTTACTCCTAATGATACAGCGGACTTGACAAGCCGACAGCTCAAGAACAAGGTGAACCCGTAAGTACCGCGAATTTCACTTGACCTATCTCGATCTTTGCTGACGCGTGCACAGCAAAATCGTCCTCGAAGTCCGTGTCGGCAAAGGTATTGCGAGCAAGGGTATACCGATTATCGTCGAGGATATGGCATTTACCGGACTTATGAAGTTCAAGGTGAAACTTCAAATCGCGTTCCCACATGTAAGTACAAAGGGATTAGATTTAGAAATCTAGAGCTGACATATTTGTTCTAGATCGAGAAAGTTGATGTCTGCTTCATAGATCCTCCAACATTTGACTATGCACTGAAGCCTCTTGGTGGTGAAACATTTGGTATCGATATCGGTTTCTTGCCCGGTTTGAGTGGATTCATTCAAGATCAAATCCACACTAATCTCCGCCCTATGTTCTACGCTCCCAATGTATTCACTGTCGAGGTTGCCAAAATGCTGGGAGGTGCCCCAATTGATACTGCTATTGGCGTGCTTGCTGTTACTATTCATCATGCCCATGGCCTCAAGAACCCCGATAAATTCAGTGGCACCCCCGATCCATACGCAGTATGCTCAATTAACAACCGCGTCGAAGTCGCCCGCACGAAAATCATTAAGGAAAATACCAACCCCAGGTGGAATGAAACGAAATATATTATTATCACAAATTTCAACGACCCTTTGACTTTGGGAATATTTGACTTCAACGAGATCAGAAAGGATAGGGAGTTGGGAACAGCCACATTTCCTTTGGACGCCCTCACGGAGAGTCCGGAACAGGAAAATGTCAGCATTCCTGTGATGTCAAACGGGAAAGCGAGAGGACAAGTTTCTTGCGATCTAAGGTTCTTTCCAATTTTGGAAGGACGAATTCTGGAGGATGGTACACAGGAGCCTGTCCCCGAAAGCAACACTGGTATTCTACGATGGACCGTTTCCCAAGCGAAGGAGTTGGATTCTAGCAAAAGTCTTGTCGGACAATTGTCCCCTTACGCTTGTCAGCTCCTCAACCGCAAACTTATTCATAAGACCAAGATCATAAAGCGCACAAACGACCCCATCTGGGAGGATGCCCACGAAATGCTCATTACAGACCGTAAGGGATCCGACTTGGAAATTGTAATCAAAGATGATCGTGATTTGGCCGCGGACCCGGAACTTGGAAGGTATGCAATTAAACTCGACGAAATGCTTGAGATGACGAAGAAAGGCACCAATTGGTTTAATCTCTCTGGAGTCAAATCTGGTCGTGTCAAGTTGAGTGCTGAATGGAAGCCTGTGACTATCAAAGGCGTTGCTGGAACAGGGGGTTATCAGACTCCCATTGGTATTATGAGACTTCACTTTTTGAATGGCAGGAATCTTCGGAACCTGGAGGCTCTCGGCAAATCTGACGCATATGTCCGCGTTCTTCTTTCTGGTGTTGAGAAAGGCAGGACTGTCACTTTTGAAAACGACCTCAATCCAGATTGGGACGAGGTTTTGTACGTGCCTGTCCATTCTACTAGGGAGAAACTGCACCTTGAAGTGATGGATCAGGAAAAGATGGGCAAGGATCGTTCTCTCGGCTTTGTCGACATAGAAGCAGGTGACTATGTTAAGGAGGGGGATAATGGCTTGTATATGGAGCACAGTGAAAAGGTCAACCAGGAGAGGGCACTCAAGGACGGGAAGGGTTCCGAGAAAGGAAAATTGAGCTTTACCGTTGCATTTTATCCTTGCTTGAATATTGCCGATCCTGAAGAAGAAGAAGAGGACAAGAAAATTCAGGAAGAGATCGATATGGAGAAAAAGAAAGCCCTGGAAGAGGCGCAAGCGCTCAAAGGAGACAACCCGGACCCAATTGCTATCGAAAATGCGAAAGAAAAGGACTTGATTGAGGAAAACACAATCACAGCTACAAGCCCGACAGGAAGCAATGAGGACAGCAAGGCTATACCAAAGGTCAGATTGACGCCTGAAGAGCTAGTCAAATATGGTAATACTTTTGATTCACACATTAAAAAAGCACTATTTCTGACGTGTAACAGATTCCGGGTTATTAATCTTCAAAATCATCGAGGGACAACTCGCACATAAAGATTGTTATGTTGAAGTACTCATGGACGACATGCTGTATCCCGCGTATGCAACTACTAAAATCAAAGCGAAAAACATCAAGATCGACGAGAGTAAGTCAAACTCCCAGTGATTTAATCGAGCGTTTACTAAGCCAGAGAAGTTGGTGATGCCTTCGTTAGGGAATTGGAGTTTTCAAAAGTCACCATCCGCCTGAGAGAACACGGGAAGGACATCGATGACGAGAGTGATGATGTTCTCGCTAAGCTACAAGGAAACACTCTTGAGACCCTCAAGCAATGCTTGAATAACCCCACTGTCCTTTCTTTGAAGGACAAGAATGGAGATATCAGCAAGATCAAGATCAGTCTGAAGTATATCCCAGTCCTGATGAGGCTTGATCCAAGTGAGAGTATCAACAACATGGGCACCGTCCGTGTTGATATCCTCGACGCTGCAAACCTCCCATCTGCCGATAGAAACGGGAAGAGCGATCCTTTCTGTGTCTTCGAGCTCGATGACAAGGAGGTACACAAAACCAAAGTGCAGAAGAAGACTTTACACCCTGCTTGGAACGAGGTATTTGAAACAAAGGTTGTATCGCGCACTGCGGCAAACTTTGTTGTGGAGGTCTTTGATTGGGACCTTGGTAGTAAGGTTTGTTATTCATTATATTTATATGTTAATCCGACAAATCAGTACTTACAAAATTTAGGCCGATTTCCTCTGCAAGGGTCGTATCGATCTGACAGATCTGGAGCCATTTATTCCAAAAGTCGTTGTCCTCAAATTGACAGGTAAAAAGGGAGAAGAAGGGAAATTTGGTGAAATCCGCCTTCGTATTCTTTTCAGAGCGGATTATGTCGTCAGATCGAGACAGGGATCCTCTACCTTCCATGGTACATTTGCCACGCCCGGAAAAATCGTCACAGGTGTTGCCGGTGCCCCACTCAAGGTTGGTGGGTTTGCTGCGGGGGGTATCACCAAAGGTGCTTCTTTCCTGAAGAAGAACACATTTGGCCGTGTCAAGAAAGATTCAAATGACGGGGAGGAGGAAGTAGTGATGATGGAAGAGCCTGTTGTCAGGCCTTCCACAAACGGCGGTGTTAGCCTTTCTGCGGCGAGTGGTGTTGTTGAAGGAAAAGTAACTCCCCCAAGTACCGCGGGTCAGGATGATGGAAGAACACCTAGACGTTCTGCATTAAGCCCGCCATCCACCGGGGTTTCTAGTGGGAGCCCCCACAGCCGCAGTAGGAGCGTCTCCAGCACTCTTTCAGCGCCAGGGGCTGCACCAGGCGCGGAGCCCGGAGTTGCAACTGTCAGAATCGTTAGCGCTACCGGATTCCCAACCAGTGCAAATGTTCGCCTACGATTCAAGACAGCAGGAAATAACAAGGAACTTCACAAGAGCAAGTCGGTCAAGAAGTCTACAGGCGAGCTTTTCTGGGACGAGGAGTTCAAGTTCCAATGCACGGCAGATCAGCAGTTCAAGGTTTGCGCTGAAGATGACCATCTCATCCGTGCTGACGAGGAACTTGGAGAGGGTTTGTTTGTTGTGGACGATACTGGTAGTGGCGGCGACACTGTCGTGTCTGTAGGACAGGGCAAGGTCACATTGAGGACGAGCTTCAAGAGTGCCGATATGGTGAGCAACGCGTCACCCAAGAACAGTCGGAGGGGTTTATTGAAGAAGTAATGTGATGTATTTGCGTGGATATCCAGATGTGAATTTGCATGTATTTCCTTTTATTTGTTCCTTAATTTTTCTTACTCGTTCAGTCTCTCTTTCTCTCTTTACACTAAAGCGATTTAATCTGAATTTTTTTTTACTGCTGTGATTCCTGATTTCTCGTACTTTGAGGCTGTGTTTTTCTTACATCCTCCTATACTGCTGATGGCGTATGATTCCTGCCTTTAGTGATTGTGTACACTACTAGCGTTCGATAGTTCTTTAAAGCGGGCTTCTAGAAACTTACGGGCGAAATATCACTGGAATGTGCGGTGCGTGATATTATACTGGTTCTAATTCACAGAAACACTTATTTCCTAATATTCCACTCAGTATCTACCACCTTATCTCGCAATCCGCGAAGGTTTCCTATGTTTAATATTACCCTTCCTGTTCCCTCCTGGTCACTGAACTCCACCCATGTATTTGTACTCGGGGCAGGCAAGAAGAACCTGAAAATGTAAGCTGCAAGTAGGGGCTCAATTTGGTGTAGCTTTTTGCCAGCCGCGAATCAGAGGTCGTTACCATAAAAAGTCATTTTCAGGTTCTTCTTGCCTGCCCCGAGTATATAAGGAATGGGAACGCGAGAGTTGACAAATCTGAGCTTGTATATAAAGCACATACGTATGTGGAAGGTGCCATGTGCAATTGAGATGCCGTAGGCTTTTGTTGGGCCAAACGAACCAGTGATCGAGCTCCCAGTATACCGGTCCAGGCGTCCAACTTTCCGTTGCATATCTTTTATATCACTTCTAACGTCCGAGGAGCACAACTCCCTGCGTTGACTCTGCTGCTTTCTTCTTGATGCAGATAACCGTTATCTTTCATGCAGGAAGGCCCGTCACACTCGGCAAACATGATATAAAGTATGAGAAAGGTGGCTTTTTGACGGATCGAGAAACCATGCAGCTCAGCACAAGAAGGACGAGGTGACATCATCTGCGCAACTGCCCAGGAATAGAGTAGTTTTGTACTCTATGCATGTACTCTATTTCTCAAAGTGCTGGAAGCATACCATTTGTAGTTGGGTAATATATTTTGGCCAGATTAATATGTCCTTACCAGGTTACAGAAAAGTGAGGCTAACTAATTTACGATCCTTGTCGTTCTGTAAAGCCAGTTAGAGTAGCAAGAAGACCCAAAGAAGGACTACAACACACCGCCGCTCCTTTTCAAAATAAGGTCTCGGTCTGTCCCTTGGCAGGTTTATGGTTCTTTTGGCAATCTGATGAATTGTACTCAGATTGCCGTATCCAGAACTACATTCGTGTGTCACCTTGTAACTCTAGGCCAGTGCATTTCGGATAGAAACCTGAATCTCGTCAGACTTGATATTCCTTAACGCCAAAAACACTGCCCGGTGTTTAGGTGCAAACACAGGATCAGCTCTCATGAGCTTGTAAATATTTACGGGCTCCCAATCATTGGTACTAGTCAGTCAGCCGCCGCGCGGCCAAGGCAAAAACGCCTAGCCAGTGTCATCACGTGATTCCCCTTATTATATTGGCAATTGTGAAGGTAAATTATTGTGCCTGAGCTAGAGTATTCACCTTTTTTATTTTCGGGGGATTACCGGTTGATCACCCATTACATTCATTTACAAAAAGAAAAGATATGCCTGTGTGCTTTCGACGATCTCGACGAGGCGCTCTAATAGCCCTTGTACTATTTGTGTTTGCAGTACACGACCTGCTGTACCGTCTCGATTCGAGAGCTCCGGAGCCCCCAGCTGCAGCCGCGAACATTCCTCTGGGGCGGGTCTTTATTGCCAGTAACCACTGGAACTCGGCTAAAATTCTAAAGTCCCATTGGTCTAATTCGGTTCTGGAGCTTATAGCAAAGATCGGCCCCGAGAATGTTTACTTTTCGTTGTACGAGAGTGGGAGTTGGGATGACACAAAGGGGGAGCTTCGGCAGCTCGATAGTCGACTTGAGGAATTAGGGGTTGCGAGAACTATCATAATGGATGAGACCACACATTCCGACGAGATAAGCAAGCCCCCCGAGGATGAATGGTGGATAGAGACGAAGAGCGGGAAAAAAGAGCTGCGCAGAATACCGTATCTTGCTAGGCTGAGAAATATTGTGCTGGAACCACTGCTGTCGCCGGAGGTGGCGAATGCCACCCACTCCTTTGACAGGATATTATTTCTAAACGATGTTATTTTCACGGTAAATTCAGCTAAAGGCCCTTTAAAAAATGTAAATCAAAAAGTGCTTTTGCTAATCGGCGGGAAATCTTCGGTTTTGATCGTGAGCAACTTTAGCCAGATGATGCCATCAAACTGATGCAAACGCGCTCTGGTGATTATGCTGCTGCATGTGCACTAGATTTCGCTGTTCCCCATAAGTTCTATGACACTTTTGCTTTACGAGACTCGACGGGTCGTCCCGCAGCTAGCTTGGAGTACCCATATTTTGGTGCTGGGAGGTCACGTCAATCCTTACTTCGAGGAGAGCCAGTACTTGTGAGATCGTGCTGGAATGGAATGGGTATGTTATAGCATGAGTGGTATTCCACAGAAGATCATAGTACCAACTGTAGTATTTCGAATGCTAACCTACAGATTACTATTCCAGTGTCTTTTGATGCCAAGCCCTTTATTGCAAAACAGCCTCTCCGCTTCCGTGGGATACCGGATAGCCTTGCGTTACACCATCTCGAAGGTAGCGAGTGTTGTCTCATTCATTATGATAATCCTCTGTCTTCTAGCCGTGGTATATACCTCAATCCACAGGTCAGAGTAGGGTACAAGGAGCCCGCCTACCTATCAGCCAAATCGTGGCCGTCAATACGAGATACAATTCCGGGAATGTTCATACGGGCAACAACGTGGATTATAGATCTACCATGGAAAGATAGAAAAGTTGATGCACGGCTAAAAAAATGGGGAGGTAAGGAGGTTGGGAGAGACTGTTTGATCGACGAGATGCAGATACTTGCAGATAACGGTTGGAAGCATATGTAATGCGTTCTAATCAGATATCTTCCCCGGCCGGCTCGTTTCCAATGCCCTAGTTGCTACGGTAGGAACAGCAACCAAAGCAGACCGAGGGATTGGAAATGAGCCTGGCCTTCCCCCGGTACGGTTGTCGGTTTCAGTTTTTTATTTTATTTTATGGTTTGTTCTTTAGACGGAGCTAGGGGCTTTTGTCGGTGCATGCTTTCCGAGTTTCTTTTCTTATTCCTGGTTTTCATGTAATTAGTTTGCGCGTGTAATTTAATAGACTGTTGGTGAAATAAAAGTTAGTTCTTTTCAATGGAGTCGGTCAGTCATGGCATGAAAAGGAAAAGTCTATATCAACTAAAAAAAAAAAAAACTACAAGTAGCTGAGAGGTGATCCACGAAACATGCGTACCGAGACAAATGTGTCCAACTACACCCAGTCATTGGACCAACAGACATTATTGTTATTATGCCACGTAGGATATCAGGATACCTGGACTGACCTGTTGATAATTCATTGGAAGCCATCCCGTGGATACCCCTGAAGTTTGTAGGCGTTCAAATGTAGTCTGTAGATCCCCTCAGGTGGTGGTCTACAGAGTTGTTATGAGCCCTTTCTATGCAATTTATCTTCAAGGCTTCTGGTTTAATATCTTCAGATGGCTTCCATTTGTTGTGTCGGGGGTATCTATATAATTAAGAAGAGCAATATGTAGGGGCGTTATTCACAAAGGAGATGACAGTATATAACATGTACGTAGTTAATTCTAGTTGCTGCAAATGTCTTTATGTGGACGGAAAGACAATTAATGAATTATTAACCAATCAATTATGTGGACAGGGTTGACCCTCAAACTTGTCAAGGGATCAATCACATACAGTACGAAAAAACCAACGGAATTAGACCAGCATTACGAATTAATACCGTACCAATACCATATGTTTTTGGCATTACTAGTGCATTAACGGGAATACCGTAGCAAATCCACACCATTTTTTATACTGTATGTTTTCTTCGAGTGATATCGTGTGATGATGAGCTGCAAAATTACGCTACCAGCACCAAGTAATTTAGGTGAATTTAAATAACTCCTACTATAGAGTGGATGGGGATATATTTGCGGCTGGGTTGGATAATATACAATGAGAGGAATCTGAATTCACAACTACGCCTTAAACAAATGAAAGGGAAAACACCAAGTAATCCAACTCCTATTCCCAACAGCTTATCTCCTGTTGTTGCTCTGCCTGTTTGCCAGAATCTGAACCATCCTCACAAAGATGTTGATAAAGTCCAGCTCGAGACTGATGCTCTCATTAACGGTGTCCTTCTTGATCAATCCCATCTGGGCCATCCTGGCGTGGTTCATGATCTTCTGCACATCGTAGAGTGTGAATCCACCGAAGACTGCAAGACCACCATACAGCCAAAGAGCTTCAGCGCCCACCAGTGCTCTAGATCCGAGAGGAAGAACCATTGGCGCAAGACCGGAAAGAGCAACGACTGCGACACCAGCGAGAAGAGGGCCTCCGAGGTAGAGGTATTTATCCTCCTTTGCGGTGGCGGCAACAAATGCAATTGATCCTATAACACCAACGGTGTACAGACCTGCACGTGCAAGAATTGCAGGGCTGTAGAAGTACATTGGGGCGAGAAGAGCAGCCTGACTAAGATTGAAGCCGGTCCATAGGACGTGCTTTTGAATGTAGCTATAAAACGCACATTAGTATGGCTTATAGAAAAGGATAAGGGTGAAAACTGACTTGTCTGGGTCAGTCATCCGAGTGCCCAGCATGGTACCAACACTAGCCACAAGACCGAGACCAAGAACCATCCATGGGTTTGCAGTCATAAGTCTGTAACTCCATCCGGCATTATGAAGACCCTTCGCAGCAAGACCTGCACACAAGCAATTAGAACCGCGGTCGAACATTTTCTACCAAGCAAAAGCAGACATACCAATTATTGCAACACCGACACCGGTGTATGTAAAAGTCTCATGTAGATATTCTCTCTCAAAAGCCGGGATAGCATTGTCCCTGGTTTCCCGGTTAAACAGCAGGTTCGCCGCAAGCAAGGTTCCGCCAAACAAAGCTCCAGCGTAAGCAAGCCTCTGTATGCTCTCTGTGCGAGGTGGCCGTGCAATCACTGCCGGCTCAGTGGTAAAGAAGCGCTTTGACTGGAACTGCACTTTCGGGGATGCTGGGCGGCGGAATGCCTGCCGTAAGATTGGCGATCTGATAGCCGGGGCTGCGGAGAAGGTGCGTGCAAGGGGTTTCGAGGTAAGCATGGCAGCCCCGAGGGGACGGCGGAAAGTGTTGAGTAGCAGCATTTTGGTGGTGGTGCGATTAATGGTGTGATGAGATGGTGTTTCGATATTCTCGCAGGTGCAGGTGGGGGTTGTGCCTTATGAAGGGATCTGTCGGGGCGAAGGCGAATGACGTCGCGTAGAATAGACCTTGCTAGAAGCAAATTTGTCATCCGCGTAAGTAAGTGCCTGTCATGTGATCGCCGCTACTAATAATTTTTTCCGAGTCACATGAGATCACTCGGCCCTGCGCCATCATTCGAATGTGACTCACTGGGATTTCGGCGATTGATTTGATGGATTTCATTCGCTGTGTGCACGCAATATTCCGCTTATTTCCGCAAAGACCGGAACGATGTCTTGTTATATCCAGAGCCTCACAGCCTCACAAGCATGTACTTACATCCTATTCTAGCTCTTGCTGCTGTATTTAGATACTCTTATTCAAACCGTGGGATGAACAGCCTAGGACCACCATTTAACTCCGGAGACCGACCAAAAATTCTTCTTTGAGGCCTGCTCTAAAGGATACTTTAGTCTTAGTGAGGAGCAATTCCAATCTCCCACCTGAAGGTAGCATATCTTGAATCTAACACTCTTCAATACAAGTCACATCAGTAACTAATGCGGTATGCAAACAAGATATTGAAAACAACCAAATTTTTGCATTACATCTAATCTATCATGGCCCCAAACAAAAATTCTACCCAAGAAGTACATCTATCATAAAATAAAAATAGTGAAAAATAAAAAAATGACAATGAAAAGTACAGTTTACTTTCACTTTTCTTTAGTACTAGCCTCAGGAATACTTCCTGCAGGCGCAGCATACCTTAAAAAATCTACCTTCCCTCTAATTGGCAATTCCCTCACCTTCACAGCTTCGAATTCCACACCTCTCCCAACCCCTTCGATACACTGAAAACGCCCATGCGCCCTTTCACCGCGATTATAAAACCTAATCTCACCTTCCTTCTCCGCTGCCTGGGCCCCCCCATCCCCGGCAACTCCAGCCCAGTCAAACCCCACACGCGGATTCCTAGTTGACGGATTCGTTCTCAACTTCAGAACACCCTCCATGGCACCGAATATCATCTCGCCGACGACACTGTTCGACTCGATGTCCTGAAAGAGTAGAATGGTGAGACTCTCGGTCCGTGCCCAGTTTGCTTGAATATCAGGGCAGGACACATCCCACGTCCCCAAAACATGCTTCTTCGAGAACGCAGTCGTGTTTGTCCGTTTCCTCTCCTTCTTAACATCTACCATTGGCACCTCCCCATCTAACTGCAGACCACCGGCACCGTCCATACTCGATTCGTTCTTGACATCGGCGGCAGCACCAACCTCAAATTTCACCGGGACACCACTGCCATCACCTTCATCCTTCTTCTCACTCTTCACCCTTCTCGCCCACTCCTCACACCCCGCCCTCCACTCCTTCCTCATATACTTCTCCATCACCTTCACCTCCGCCGGCTGCTTCGCCAGCAACCCCGCCGCATGCGCGGCCCTCAGTCTCGCCTCCAGCTCCGCCCTACTCCCCATCAGCGGCTTGACCCCATAGTGTGCCAATTGCGCTTTGCACCACTTCCCCGTGACCTTGGGCGGCGCCCATGTCTGCTGCTGGCGGTACGGCCGCACGGGGTGAAGGTATTGGCGCAGCGTCTTTTTGTCGGCGCGCGGGACGCCGTTGTTGAGGAAGCCGTCGGTGGGCGAGTAGGAGAAGCTGCCGTTCTTGATGGGCTCCATGGCGTGGGGAATCGTAAAGTTTGTTTTGGGGCGGTGGAAGGGTGGAGATTACGTTGTCATGATCTCTGCGGAAAGGGATTTCTTATAAATTTATGGAGGTGCAACGCGAGATGTAGGATGGGAAGCTGCAGGTTTGTATCAAGAGAGATTGGAGATGTTATGGCAGCCTTGAAGAGATTTGAAGACTATCATCGAGGTTACCTTTTTTTTTAAAAAAAAAGTAGTAGCTTCACTAAACATCACTCGGTGGTCAAAATAGCGTGGTCTAAGCGTCCAAACATAAAGCTACATACAGCACAGCACTTCTATAAGATACAAACCTCATTTAGTACCTTATCAACTCCGAGAAAAACGGGCATTTTAACAAAGCACAATCTATATATACGCCCTGAATCCGAACTAGTTCCATACACCCATTTTGATAAATAAAAAAAAAAAGAAGTAAAGGAAAGAAAAGGAAAAGGAAAAAGAAAAAGAAAATAGATGCATGCCGGTACAATGATGCAAGATTACAAAAGAAGATAAAAACCACTTAAAAAAAATTAGACCAGTCAAAAAAAAAAAAGCAGCTTTTGTACCGTATGCTATTTACTATACAGACTGAATCATCACGGGAGGTAAAATACAATACCTAAGTAAATGTAGTTTTGCCCCCCACGACTGAAAAAAAAAAAAAAAAACATTAAGAGCAAATGAAAAGGGTGTATGATATATCATTTTCATTTGATGCTCTTCATCTTCTCCCTTCTACTCGAACACTCGGGACAGAACCATTTCCCTGGTGGCTCTTTTGTAAGATCCACACATGCTATACCCGCCGCGTTATCTATTAGTAGGGTGTTTTAAGAAAAATGGGCGAAGCTTTCTGTAAAATAAAATAGAAAGAAAAATACGGGGAATACAGTGAGTGAGGGGAAAAACTTACCCCAATGAAACCACTCATATGGACAATCAGCTGCATCGCAAGCCACCATATTCCCATAAGATACTTGTTGACACATACAATACGGCCGCTTGTCCTCGCCCGTATCGTCGTCATCATCGTCGTCTTCGCCTTCCGACGAGTCCGTAAAGACTTCCCGTTTCGTGGATTGTTTACGCTTCTTATTGTTAACGCTGGGAGCATTGGAGTAGTTTGGGCCTACAGGCTCAGGTTTAATACCAGGTGTGGATGGATTAGAGGCAAGATTTGATGGGATTGCGGGTGCAGCCGACGAGGTCTGTACAGTTAGTCGCCTGCGCTTGTTGGTGTCCCCATCGCGGGGCGTTGAGACTGAAGGTGGTGGGGGGAAAGAGGTAGTGGGGGTTGAAACAGGAGTAGAGTGAATAAGGTTGGAAGAGGCGGGCGTTGGGTGAGTGGAGGTAGGAGCAAAGGAGGCAGCACGGGTAGGGCCCATGGTGGAAGGGGAAGCTCGTATAGAAGGTTGGCGTGTATGCGCATTTATAGGAAGATTGCTTGGATAAGGGGAATTGATGATTGAGTCCGGAGGCATAAGCCCATCACGCATAAGATCTTGGATTTTGGCATCCAGTCGATTCACGTGCTTATCCATCTATTAACAAAAAGAGTCAGTGCGAGGTTAAAAAAACTGTGTTTGTAGAAATATATATGGAGTAGCATGCATGTATAGAGAAGCAGAGGTCGCGGGGTGAAATGGTGAAGGGCATTTTAAAGTTTTGATAACGTGATAAATGAAGCATAACTTGTGGTTGACTATACACATGTTTTCTACAGAATACAGAAGACATCAAGATGTAGGGCAATGTATGTGTGCAAGCTTGATATGCACTGGGTGTTCGTGAGAGGGAACACAGCTGTAAACACGTCATTAAAAAACTTACCAGATCCACCGCCTTCTTTGCGAGCACCAATTTCTCATCTTGGATCTGTTCAATTTTCTTATGGCTCTTCCTTATCTGCTCCACATACACGGCCTCCTTGGGTTCTCCGTGTGGCTCCCATGGTTCTTGATGAACTTCTGCAGCGAATTGTCACGTGCCAAGGCACTATCACGGTGCTCCTTGAGAACTCTGTCTTTGGCCTGTATCTCCTCGTAGATGTGCGCGATTTCGGCGGGGAGATTGGCAACTAAGGGGGCCAGATATCAGCAGAGCTTCCCTAACACGTGTTTTTGAGGGCTGTTTATCGGGGGAGGGGGTGTGTAGACTAACCATCGTTGATGAACTGTTCAAGAACTGTGGCGGCATCTTCAGCCATATCTGTGTAGAAATTTTCTTTTTGGGGGGTATGAATAGAGTTAAGATGATGGAAAAGTGTTTGAAAGGACGACAAGTTCACTCGGGGTGGTAGTTCACGAAAGATTTGAGATACCGCTGACTGATGGGATGAGGTGACGTTGGGGGTGCTTGGGATGCACGTGCTAGCGGGATTAGCCTCGTATGGCGTTGCCAACCTTAGATGCGGCTCAACTTCAACGTTACACCACGAGACGCCAGGGTCAAATGCTTAGCAGGCACCTACAGTGCTGCACAATCACCTCTACACCAAACACATTCGCCCCCCCATACCAGCCGACGGTACAGGTACATAATCTTTGGAGCTTTCTCAAACCCACAAAAGAGCTCAATCGTGGTCTCCCCGTTAGGTGCCGAGCCTCTTTGTCCTTTTATTGCCTTCACTACATATAGAATCCGAAAATCAAGCTTTAATTAGCCGATCCTCAAGATGTCAATAGTCCAAACCTACGATACCTGGGGCAACAATGCGACATTCTCATTCGACTCAAAGACCGCCTCCACGATATCGCCTTCCGTCCCTCTAGATGGCTGCATAAAGAAAAAGGTGAGAGCTTTGCTTTGCTATCTCCAAGGAATGAGTTGCAATATGTAGGAATGTTTTGTAGCTCATGGTTTCGCGCGCCTGTCGATGATCTCCAATGACAATCAAGGTTTCATACCATCACAATGCAGAAGCTGAGAACCATCACTTCGGAACCGCCCATCCCATGAAGCCATGGAGATTGACTTTGACAAACCAACTGGTGCTCGGATATGGGCTACAAAAATACATGGACAATTACTCTACCCGTCCCGCGGCGGAAGACGAACTGCGGGAGTTTCATGGTTCTGACTATCTTGATTTTCTCAAACGGTGCCACTCCTCCCCCCTTCCCCCTCCCACTCTCTATGAAGATATTGGTATTGGTTGTGGTGTTGTACATCTGTATCTGACAGTACGGGCCACCAATCCAGCGTCACCCCCGAAAACACCGAAAAGTTCTCCGCCGACCTCGCAAAATTCAACATCGGCGACGACTGCCCCATCTTCGACGGCATCTGGGACTACTGCACGCTCTACGCCGGCGCCTCTCTCGACGCCGCAAAAAAACTCATCAACGGCCAGTCCGACATCGCCATAAACTGGTCCGGCGGCCTGCACCACGCCAAAAAGTCCGAAGCCTCCGGCTTCTGCTACGTCAACGACATTGTGCTCGCGATCCTCCAGCTGCTGCGCGTGCACCCGAGAGTGCTCTATATCGACATTGACGTGCACCACGGCGATGGCGTCGAGCAGGCCTTCTTCTCGACGGATAGGGTCATGACGCTCTCGTTCCACAAGTATGACAAGGACAACTTCTTCCCGGGGACGGGGAACTGGGACGATGTGGGTGGTGGGCCCGGGAAGCACTATGCGCTGAATGTGCCGCTGAAGGATGGGATAGATGACGACTCGTACATTCGGCTGTTCAAGGGGATCGTGGGCCCAGTGGTCGAGACTTATCGCCCGAGTAGCATAGTGTTGCAGTGTGGAGCGGATTCGCTGGGGTGCGACAGGTTGGGCTGCTTCAATCTCAATATCAAGGCCCACGGGGCGTGTGTGGACTTTGTGAAGAAGCTGGATCTGCCATTACTCGTTCTGGGCGGCGGTGGTTATACGCCAAGGAATGTTTCAAGGCTTTGGACATACGAGACTGCGTTTGTTTCCCCTCATCACCCCCCTCTCTCATGCATCTGGGGGGTCAAATTACTGATATCATATATCGAGATTAGAATATGCCTAGACATTTCCGTAGAAGACGAGCTCCCCGCGCGGACACCATACAGGGAGTACTTTGGGCCAGACTACAAGCTCCACCCGACGCTCAGCAAAGAGGGCAGGTACGAGAACAAAAACACAAAGAAGTATCTCGAGAGCATGAAGATCAAGATACTGGACCAGCTGCGGTATATACAGCACGCGCCGAGCGTGCAGCTACAGGAGATACCGCCGGACTTGGATAACGTTCGCAGTGATCTTATTAAACAGGAGGAGAGATAAGAAGAAGAAAAAAAAAGAAGTATAGAAAAGAAAGATTTGGGCCCACCACAATGTTCTTTTGGAAGGAGGGGGGGGGGGTCTGTCGTGTTCCGTGTTTTTTTTTTTATTATTTTATGATACAGTCTTTTTCTTTGTTGTTAGAATGTACGGATTTTGTAATCAATACTCTACTAGGACTCATGGTCTGGTTTAACAATTCCTTATCGAAAACTCGTGGACTCGTGCCTGGGGGGGGGGGGGGCGGGCTTCATTCTTCGTATCGACAACACCTGGTACATGTATTTTATGTCGCGGTAGAGTACCTACTGTGCCTGTGAGACCGTATCAAGAGAGATTTGCTGGCTACCTACATCCCTGCCAGTGCACTGTGCGCCCACACACACCACACCTACATGTAGGATTGCAAACTGGGCACCGAGCCTGAGCCTGAACCTGAACCTGAGCCTGAAAACCACCGAGCCTGAAAAATTGTCACCGAGCCTGAGCCTGAGCCTGAGCCTGAGCCTGACGCACCCCGTCGAGCCTGACATGGCACATCTGCGCGATTTCTCCCCTGCTGTATCCAATCGCATCCCCTGCTCAACCCCTACGAGCCTGAGGAAACCACCCTCTAACCGCATCCGACCAAAGTGCAACAACGGACTCAGGCTCGGTGAGGCGCTCCACCAATCACCTCGCGCCACACCACACCCTCAGCAGGGCGTTCTAAAAGCGCTGATTGGTCGGTGATGCGGCGTCCTCGAGCCTGCATGGGGTCCTCGAGCCTGGTTGTGTTTGGAATTGTCGTGTGTTACGGTGGTGGGGTATAAAGGAGTGAGGACCCTCGCTGTGGGAGGAGGTTTGGGGAGGTCACGTGAGGCGGGTTAGGGTTGGGAGGAGGGGCGTCAGGCTCGGGGGGGTGGGGGGAGGTGGAATGTAGAAGTGACAGATAGTATGGATGGCTGTCGAGTGATGGGGCGTGAAGGGGGAGTGAGGAAAGAGAGTTGTATGCATTCCCGAGTAGGTACAGCAACAATTCACGTGTAGTAAAGGCGCCGAGCCATAGCCCATGCCGCTCTCCACAAACCTTAAACCTCCAGCATCCAAGCTCCCATCGTGAACCCCCCACCAGCACCAGCACCACCACCACCACCACCACCACCACCATTGCCAATCCCAGAGCTCAAAATGGCATCCACCACCACCTCGCCCCCCAATTCCACCCCCCCGACATCCCTCCCCCCGACGACCCCCTCCCCCCCCCCTCTTCCACAACCCCCACGACCGCCTCTCCACAACCTTCGCCGGCCGCCTCCTCCTGTGCAACATCGGCGCCTTCAGCACCGGCCTGGCCCTCGGCGGGTCCCTCGGCAGCCGCGCGGCCTCACTGCGCTTCCGCGCCGAGAACGCGCACCGCCTGCCGGCCAGCGAGCGCGGCTGGTACTTCTACCACAAGTCGAAAAACTACTACACCGCGCTGGGCGGCGTGCGGCAGGGCGTGCGCACGGGCGCGAGGGTGGCCGCGTGGGTGAGTCTGTTTGTGGTCACGGAGGAGGCGGTGGACCGTGTGATGGCCGGAAGGATGTGGTGGGGACGGTGGTGGCGGGGTTGAGTGTTGCGGGGTTTTTTAGTGTGTGGAGTGAGTGCTGCTTTCTGGCTTCTGTGGTGGGGAAGGGAGAGAGAGGGATGTGCTGACGGAGTGGAATAGACAGGCTGTCCTACAGCATGGCGATAACGTCTGCGAAACGGGGGCTGGCGTTTGGGGTCGTGTTTGGGCTTGCGCAGGACCTGCTGAGGTTGCGGAGGAGATGGGAGTGGAGTGCGCTGGAAACGACGACGACGGAGAAGCAGCAGGCGAGTGGATGAGTTGCAATTGCGTAAAACACTGCTGCTTTTTTGTTGTTCTCTTTTTCTACTTTTGTGCTCAATTCGAAATGAATCGTGGGGGTTGGTTTGGCTTCCTGGCCCGGTTATATACTTACTATGGGTATGGGGTACTTTTACATGTATTTATATCACTGTTGTGTAGATAAAGCTCTCTCTCTGTCTCTCTCACTCTCTCGGCGGCGTCAAGGGTTTTTTTAAATCTGATATTCCCCATTTATTGCGTCTCAATTTATTATCCCCCCACCATTTTCCGCCGCAGCAACAACAGCAGGTCCCTCCTCCCCCTCCCCCTCCTCTTCCCCCTCCTCTTCCCCACCACTATCCTCATCCAGCCCATCAACGGAAACGTCAATATCGCCGCAATACCCCCCAACCCATCCAGCCTAACCCCACTCTCATGAATACTACTCAACACCAGCGCCTCCCCCCCGCCCTCTTCACCTCCTCCACCATCTTCACATGCCTCCTGCGCTCACTCACCTTCTCACTCCTAAACAGACTATTACTCACCAGCAGCGTCCCCACCGCGCCCTTCTCCACCGCCCTTGCCACCTCCCGCGGCCCATACCACGCCCGCGCCTCATCCGTGCTCATCATCGCAAAGAACCGCTCCACCGCCCGCGTCTCGCGCGCAAACTTTGTGTCTGTCAGCTTGGCCGTGACGGCGGGCGACTTGAGAACCTCGTTGAGCGAGTGGATGTGCCCCGAGGTGCAGTGCACGACGACAAACTTGGGCTTGGCGACGAGGACGGGGCGCGCGTCGGTGCGTAGGGCGGCGGCGAAGATGTGCGCGCGTAGCCCTTCGGCGACGAAGCCGGGGGAGGCGAGGAGGATTACTTTGAGGGCGGTGAAGTCAAAGTGGCGCAGGAGGGATTGGTAGGTTGCTTCGTAGAACTTTTCGAGGCCCTAGAGAGGGAGTGGTGTGTGAGTGAGTGGGGAGGAGAGAGGAGGGGGAAAGGGAGGGGGTTACTTTTTCGTAGCTGGAGGTTATGCCTTTCCGTTTCCGCGGCACGGGACTTCGACTTTTTGGCGCAGGATCGTCATGTGGTCCGTGATGAAGCACACATTCGCCAGCCCTACACGGCACAGCACCACCATCAATCTCCACAGCTCCCCCAAATCCAAAACCGCACCCAAGCAGAAGCAGCAACAGAAGAAGAACAAGAAGAAGCTCCAAACCCACGGGCAACATACCCTCCTGCAGCACCACCGCGCCAATCTCGCTCCTCTCGCGCGCATCACACGCCTCCCTGACCATCTCCAGCGCCACCGAGTCCCACTCGGCCTTGATGACGGTAAAGTTGCGGTACAGCTCCAGGTCGAGCGTGTGGTGCACGCCGACGGCCACGTACTTGTTCTCCTCGCACACGCGCCCGTTGAGGTGCAGCTGGCCGGCCTGCGCGTCAAAGTCCACCTTGTCGACCGTGATGGTGAGCACCGTCTGCACGCGCTGCGACTGCGTGGAGCCTGTCTTGGACTCGAGCGTGACGCGGCGGAGGGCGTTGGCGCGGAGGCGGTCGCCGGGGCGGATGAGGTTGAAGGCGTGCCACTAAGGGGTGGGGTGGGGTGTGTGAGCTGCGGTGGGGAAGGGGGGGAGGGAGGGAGGGAGGAGGGAGAGGGGGGGGGTACCATATCTTCGGGCTCTTCGGGGAAGAGGGTGATGAAGCCGGTCATGTCTCGCTCGATGGCTCTTTTTATTAACTTCATCTTTGTTATATGTAAGGGGTTTGCTTTTTTAAAATAATTGCGGGCGGAGAAGAGAGAGAGAGAGCTATTGTCGGTCGGCCAATAACTGGAGTAGCGAGGGGATGGGGATGGGATGGGGTGGGATGGGATGGGCAGGGATGGGATGACAGGGCAGCGCAGGTGGGGCGGTGGTGACGTCGCGGGGAGGGGGTGATAAGATAAGGATCTGATAAGATTGGACAGTTGCTCCACTCGAGGGGCAGTTACTCCACTCGAGGGACTGTTACTCCACTCGAGGGACTGTTACTCCACTCGAGGCACTGTTACTCCACGAGGGACTGTTACTCCACGAGGGACTGTTACTCCACTCGAGGGACTGTTACTCCACGAGGGACTGTTACTCCACGAGGGACTGTTACTCCACTCGAGGGACTGTTACTCCACGAGGGGCAGTTACTCCACTCGAGGCACTGTTACTCCACGAGGGGCAGTTACTCCACTCGAGGGACTGTTACTCCACGAGGACTGTTACTCCACGAGGGACTGTTACTCCACTCGAGGACTGTTACTCCACGAGGGACTGTTACTCCACGAGGGACTGTTACTCCACTCGAGGGACTGTTACTCCACGAGGGGCAGTTACTCCACTCGAGGGACTGTTACTCCACTCGAGGGACTGTTACTCCACTCGAGGGACTGTTACTCCACGAGGGACTGTTACTCCACTCGAGGCACTGCTGGATTCAGTGCAGTGGAGGATTGCAGAAACGACGGTTTGATCCATATCTTCTAACACCGAGCATCCCTCCCCATGCATGCTGCCAGCCCGTGCATGGCCTCAGGGCCATTCCATTCCTTCCTTCCTTCCGCAGTCAGGCGCCCAACCTCGGCATCTTCCCGGATCCCCCCAAACCGACACCTCACTCACCACCAACAACAAACCCTCGCCCGCCATGCTCCCCCAAGAGCAGACACGTGAAGAAGAAGAAGAAGCTCCTCCCCAGTCGCTATTGTTATGTCTGCCCGTCTCCTCTTCACTCGCAGTTTCCTAAAGCCCACCACCATCCATCTCAATCTCCTCCGGCACACCCTCACCGTCAGCAGCAGAATGTCCACCGCCGCACCGCCACCCGCCGTCCCGCGTCTCAGCGCCAGGTAATCCCCCCTCCCCCCCCAACCCCCAAAACCCAGCACCCAATTCCCACCAATTCTAACCCTGCCACCCACCGCCCACCAGCCTCCTCATCATCAACCCCCTTAACGAAATCCTCCTCCTCCACCGCCCCAGCCACTCCAGCACCTTCCCCAACGCCCACGTCTTCCCCGGCGGCGCCACCTCCCCCTCCGACCCCACCCCCGCACACACGGCCCTCCGCGAAACATTCGAAGAGACCGGCCTCCTGCTCACCACCCCGCCTCCCCCGCCATCCCTACTCCCATCCCTCCCACTGGCACGCTCCCAGATCCACGCCGGCACTCTCTCCTTCACCGACTTCCTCGCGGCACACAGCCTCACACCCGCCGTCGACGAGCTCATCCCGTTCACGACATGGATCACCCCAAAGGCCATGAAGCGGCGCTTCGAGACACACATGTTCCTGTACTTCCTCCCCTCCTCCCCCTCCCCCACCACCTCCGCCGCAGCAACACAGCACCCAACACCCGACGGCGGCATCGAGGTCCTCACCACCACCTTCCTTCCCCCCTCCACCGCGCTCGCCAGCGACCTCGTCTTCTCCCCCCCCAGTTCTACCTCCTCTCCACACTCCTCCCCTACCTGCCCCCCCCGACTCCGTAGGCATCGAGGACCACGTGGCAAAGCTGCAGCGCAAGCGTCTGGTGCGGTTCGCGCGGAGCGGGTTCGGCGCGCTGGTGATGGAGCCGGCGCCGCTGCGGAGACTGGCGGACGGGAGGGTTGTGATGGGGCTGGGGGCGCGCGGGGATCAGGAGCGGGCGGTGGTGATTGAGGTGGCGGAGAGGGGGGAGCCGAGGGGTTGGAGATGGTGGGGAGGGGGGAGGTGGCGAGGTTGTAGTGTTGTAGAGGGGGGGCGGGGGGTTGTTTGATACCAGAGAGCTGGCCTGAGTTGAGCTGTGGGCCATGCGTGGGTAGTTTACTCGGCTGTGTTTGGGCCCGTCTAGTCTTTAAAAGGTCCAGGCGCGATACACATATATATAGTGAAAATACAAGCCCAAGCCTATGATATATCCGTCACAAAGCCCACCAATACCTAAAAACAACAAGAGCGCACATGTGCACCGCAATCACCGAACTACATATGCCCCACGAACCAAACAGTGAAATCCTATGTATCTGGCCAAACATCCCTAGCCCTACGAATATCACACCTACCCTCCCACCTGAAGCCCAAGTTTTCCGACCCAAGTATAATTGGAGCGAGTGCTGGGCTTGCCATTAGGGAGGAGATTGGAGTAGACCCGTATCTACCTATCCTGCTCGTTTTCGATAGCTCTTCGTGTGTAGGTATACACAGATTCTTGTAGTTTCAATGCCAGAGTGGGTTTTCCGTGAGCTGATAGTCCTATCTATTGGCCCTTAAAAGAGTGTAGAGTAGTAAGGTTTTTCTCAAGGTCACAGTGATATAACTATACGGACGGCGACAGTGGACCTTCGAACGATTAAAGCATGCAATTGAACGAGTATCAAAAAAAAAAAAAAAAAAGTCCATGATTAGGAGTTTTTTTTAAAAAATGTACAGCTCGACTAGTACAACCCTGTTTCCCACAAAGAAAAACTTTTTGCTATCTCCATTTTCCCAGAAGTTTGCCACCCTTTCCCCGACACCGTAACCCTATTTGAAGAAAGAGAAAAGAAAAAAAGAACAGAAAAGAAAAAAAAGATTGAACAGATGGAATATAAAGAAGAAGAACGCAAGATATCTATGAGTAAAGCTTCTTGTTGAATTCGTGCAGACCGTGGACGTTACCCTCGGCCTGGGCGGAAACAGTCCTGACTTCAAACCTAACAGTGCCCTCCGTGACACCAGCCTGGAGCTCTGTAACACTCCTGACACCAATGTCCTGGAAGGAGTGCTGCAGACCGGCCTGAAGGTAGGGGACAAACTTGGTGACGGAGCCACGGTCCAAGACAGATCCACTATTTGGGGACAGATTAGTATTCATACCACCGCTAAGATGCTGGAATATAAAACTTACCTGACACCCTGAGCAACGCGGACCTTGTCACCCTCGGAGAAGTATCTTCCGGTGGCAGCGTTGTCCCCAGTCTTCATGCTCTCCATGGCATCAATAGATCCCATACCCCTGTAAGCCTTGACGAGCTTGCCCTCTGCACTCAAGAAGTACTTTCCGGGAGACTCAGTGGTTCCCGCAAGGAGACCACCCATCATCACAGTGCTGGCGCCCAAGGCGAGACCCTTGACGATGTGTCCGACGTTCTGGATTCCTCCATCGGCCATACATGGAACACCGAAGCGGCTGGCAAACTGGCAAATGCTAAAGACAGCAGCGGCCTGAGGACGACCGACAGCCATGACTTCCTGGGTGATACAGGCAGAACCAGAACCCATACCGATACGGAGAGCATCAGCACCGGCAGCAATAAGACTGGCAGCCTGCTCCCTGGTAACAACATTTCCGGCAATAACATCAATGTCGGGGAACTCCTTCTTGATCCACTTGACCATCTCAATCTGGTAGATACTGTTACCCTGGGAGCTATCCAGGATAACGATATCCAAACCAGCCTCGGCCAACAACTTCAATCTAGCCTTGTCATCCTCTCTGGTACCAATCGCAGCACCGCAAAGAAGCTGCTTGCTGTGGGGGCGCTTGGAGGCAAGAGGGAAATGGAGGTTCTTCATGAGGTCGGAGCGGGACAGGAGGGCAGTAAGGTTGCCAGACTTGTCAACAATTGGAAGCTTGCCCTTCTTCGAGGCTCGCAGAATGGCATTGGCCTCCTGGAGAGTGATTCCTTCCGGGGCGGTGACCAGCTCGGTGGTCATTACCTCCGACAAGGGAGTTGAGTAGTCGGCATGGAATTGGATATCACGCATGGTAACCATTCCAATAAGCTTGGATTGCAAATGGCCGTCCTCTGAAGATGTGTTTGTTAGTCAAATTGAACTCGAAAGAAGTTTTTTTTTTTTTTTTTGAAAAATAAGCAAACAAATCGTGATAAAATGGCAAGATCAGGTATTTTGGTTTTCCACAAGAGATTGACTTCGATGCGGTTGAACGAAAGTTATATGTGTTTGATAATCATCATAGAAGCCGTGATTTCAGGATATGAAGGCAAATGAGAGGGGGGGGACAATTCTTACCAGTGACAGGAATTCCGGCAAAACCCTGCTTTGTCTTGACATCCCAAACATCGCCAACGGTGTTCTTGGGGCTCATGACGACAGGATCCAGAATGAATCCGTTCTCATACTTCTTGACCTTCTTGACCATCTCGGCCTGGTCTTCAGCGGTGCAGTTGTGGTGGATGAAACCGACACCACCCAAAAGTGCCATGAAGATGGCCATTTGGTCCTCTGTGACAGTGTCCATGGGCGAAGACACCAGCGGCAAATTGAGTGAATGACGCTTGGTGATCTTGGTATCAAGAGTCACATCCGAGGCGGGGAATCCAACGTAACCGGGAAGAATGAGGAAATCGTTGTAACTTTTTCACCCACGACATCAGTATATCAAAGTTCCAATCTATTTGTATTAGGATGAACACTCACGTCAATCCTCCACGCTTCTCGGAATCCAACAGAGTTCGGGCATCCAAGCCATCTCTGGGGTATTCCTTTTTCATGACTTCAATGGCAGACGTGAAGTCCAACACGCCGACCTGAGCGTCGTTACCGGTGGCCGCAGGCATTTTTATTGCAGTGAAGAGAAGTAACGGTGCTGGGGGTTATAAATCTTGCGTGCTGTGTTATCCCAAAAGAGGTGGAATACAAGTGTTTGGGTAAGGGATACTGGCGTACCAGTCCAAGTAAAAAAAAAGAAGAGGAAAAAGTGAAAAGCGTCAGAAGGTGAGGAGAAGAAATACTGGAACCTTTTCAGGGTTAGGGTACACACAAAGAAAAAAAAATGATGAAACGAAAAAGAAAAAGAAAAACGCACTTTTAGTGGGGCACACAATGCCAAGTGAGATGAGGGGGAATATGGCGGGCTAATGATACTGGCTTAGTGTGGTAAGGGTTTAAACTCTAGATATCACGTGGTGTGTAATTTCAGGGAGTTGATAGAACTTTTCACTTTGGCTCAATCGGGTAGGATGTTTGCCAAGCTGCATCGGGCACAACAACTCGCCTCCGCTCTTGGTGTGCATAATGCTGCAGACGACAGCGCAGTGGTATGCATATAGACAGCAGACATCGTCCTGTTGTGGAGAAGTTTTGTTTCCTTCACTGCACTCTGGTACTATACGCAAACGAACCCTTCAATGGGATCTACTTTTTTTTTTTTATTATTATTTATATTTAAATCCTCTTGTTTTTGAGACTCAATTTTTGATCCTGCTCTGGCTGGTCTTGCTTGCCCTTACTCCATTATCTTGGGCCTCATACGATTTTTAGCCCTGCACTCTCTCTCTTTTATCCAGCGGTACTAGAGAGTTCCCGCTCAACTATTCTCCGTCGGTTGTCTAGCCGGTACACACTGGTTGGTGCCTACGCCATTGTTTACCACCAACGCAAGGACCTCCACCTAGGTTTGTTTACACCAACAACGAGCTCAGAGCGAGCTGCAGAGCCCCATCTCATCACACACCCACCATAACCGGTGTTACCAGAGTTCATCCACTCTCATCACTACCTCCCACCCCCACTCGAAACTACTCCCCCTCAATTCATCCCATCCGCAGATCGCTGAAGTCTGTTTGCCATGTCTCTCTATCCTGCATCACCACATAGAAGACAACCTTCAAACGCCTCGACCGTGTCTGCAGGTTCCTCGGCTTACTCGTTTCCATCCTCGCGTTCCACAACCGTTTCATCCACAACATCGACCTCTTCACGGTTCAGCAACATGGAGGGTCGAGGAAACTCCTTAAGACACAAACACTCCATGTCGCTCAGTGCAGCCGCGACGTCGCCGATAATATCTTCATATACAACAAACCTGACTTCAGGCCCCACCACCCCCCCTCGACCACTATCCGGTTCTAGCTTCTCGCCATTAGGTTCCCGAGCGACTCGCGGTTACAGCATTCCTTCCCCGCCAAACTTGACATCCCCTTATGCTGCCGGATCTACCTCCCCACCACCTTCGTATGGCCGGCCAACGCCAACTCCAACTCCCTACAACTCCTTACATCGACATACGGCTAGCACGGGTACGACTTCACTCAAAAGCAGTGACATAGACTCTTTGCGAAACAGCAGCGTATCGCACTTCCGGACATTATCACGCTTGACAAATGAGGGTTCTCGTGAAGATTTTGCGATGGACTCGGGGCAGGATGTTACGGGTATGCATGGAAGGAAACGTTTACAAAGGGTAAATACGGACAACTTAAGCAGCTGGGAAAGGATGAATTGGATGGATAAACGGCGACAATACATTCAAGCTTATGAATATTTGTGCCATATTGGTGAGGCTAAAGAGTAAGTCCTTGTAACCTAGACTTAAAAGCCCCGCTGACTCATAGATGGGAAGATGGCTTGAGGGTTGCATCGGGGAACCTATACCACCGATTGTGGAGCTAGAGGAAGCATTGCGGGATGGCGTTACTCTTGCGAAATTAGTACGAGTATTCTCGCCGGAACTAGTGCCTAGGATATTCGAGGCAAAGAAGCTTCAATTTCGACACTCTGATAATATCGACAGGTTTTTCCGGTTCCTCAAAAGAGTGGAGCTGCCAGAAGTAAATTATACATTCTTTGGCAAGAAATGACATGTTTGAATACTAATCGATTACTTATCAGATTTTTATTTTTGAGTTAACTGATCTCTACAACAAGAAAAACATACCTAAAGTTATTTATTGCATACACGCTCTATCCTACCTTCTTATTCGCCTTGGAATGACCACCAATGCCATTGGTAATCTTGTTGGAAAGTTGGAGTTCACGGAAAAGGAAATTCAAGATACTCAAAAAAGTCTTGACATTTCCGGCGTTAGTTTACCTTCCTTCCGCGGTGTCAACAAGCACTTTGGGCATGAAGAAGAACCCGAACCAGAACCTCCTGAGTCTGAAGAGGATCGGATTGAGAGAGAGTTGGGCGAGCTTGAACCGGATATTCTGGAGTTGCAAAATATTTGTAGAGGAGCACTAGTCCGCATGAGGCTGGGGCTACGTATGGAAGCATTATGGGATAATGAAGATGCTATAATAGAGTTACAAGCTATGATTAGAGGGATGTTTGCCCGTATGACATTTGGGTACAGGGCGGACCTGGCCAGGTGGGCTACAGAGATCCAGGCGGTCACCCGGGGCTACGCTATACGACAAGCAATTTTACGAAAGCAACGACATTTCACAGCACATGAGCGATTGATCGTCCGACTACAAGCAAGGTACCGGGCTAGGAAAGTGAGGGAAGAATACATCCAACAGAAGATGAGGTTAGAGATGGCCCAAATGGGCGTTGTGAGCCTACAGTCCATTTCAAGGGGTCTTCTCCTGAGAATGCGGCTCCAGTCTCGAATGAATGAAGTTCAGGCGAAGGAAGTGCAAGTTGTTGATTTTCAGGCGAAGGTTAGAGGGGCTTTGTTGAGGAGGAGGTTAGCAGCAAAGATGGCGGATGTCTCTGAAAGCGAGGATCGGATTTGCGAAACGCAAGCGGCCATCCGTGGGGCATTGGTTAGGTGGAAGATGGCAGAAACCCAGAGGATGCTAATGGCAGCTGAGAAGAATGTGACGTCATTCCAAGGATTGATTAGGGGATGTTTGGTTCGAAAAAACATTTCAAGGGATGCAGAGGCTTTGGAGGAAGTGGGCGGTGACTTTACAATGCTTGCTGCGGCCGCGAGAGGTGTTCTGGTCCGAAAGGCCATGCAGAAAGACATTTCTGCTTTAAAGAATGCAGAACCAACAATCAGATCACTCCAGGCCGCCGCAAAGGGGGCATTGGTAAGGAAGGCAATGATAAAAGACGTAACCAGCCTGAAAGACGCAGAAACAGAAACCCCAACTGCCACCCTACAAGCGGCTGCCAGAGGCTTTTTAGTTCGAAGTGCTATCGCAAAAGATATGGCCGCCTTGAAAAGCGCTGAACAGGCCACCACAGCTCTTCAAGCAGCTGCTAGGGGTTCGCTGATAAGACAATCCATGAAGAAGGACCAAGAGATTCTCCAGACTGAAGACAAAACCCTTCAATATCTACAGGCTGCAATAAGAGGTTACCTGCTTAGAAAGTCTCTGGGCGCGGATAAGGAAGCCCTGGAAGCAAAGACAGAGGATTGGACACATATTCAGGCTGCTAGTCGAGGGACTTTGATTAGATGGGAGTATCGACGGAAGTTACTAGGCCTGGCACAGGCCGAGGACGATATCATTGATTTACAGGCCTCGGCTCGCGGTTTCCTGGCAAGGAAGGCTTTCGACGACACCTTAGATCAGCTAGACGCCACTGTCGAACACATCGTTGACCTTCAAGCTCAGGCACGAGGTGTCCTTACACGATGGGCTTATCTGGATACTTTAGATGCCCTCGACCACGAACTCGGTGGCATCATCGCACTTCAGGCTAGCGCTCGCGGATTCCTCTACCGACAGCGCCAACAAAGGTTTTTGGACGAATTAGCTCGCGAGGAAGACGGTATTATCACAATTCAAGCTATTATTAGAAGTATCCTTGCCAGAGAGTATGCCATCCAAAAGGTTCTTGCTGTCCAGGATGAAGAAGAAGCAATCATCGATCTACAGGCTCTAGCTAGGGGTTGTCTTGAGAGAAAACGATTCTTTGGTAAACTCAAGCACTTCAAGGACAATATGGAAAAGGTTATCAAGATTCAAAGCTTTGTCAGAGGAAGACAGCAGGGCGAGGCGTACAAATCATTGAGTGAGTTCCCCCACCCATCCTTCAATAGAGCACATAAATTAACTTCTTCTAGTGAGCGGCAAAAATCCACCAGTTGGCACAGTGAAGAATTTTGTACACCTTCTCAATGATAGCGATTTTGATTTCGACGAGGAAATCGAGTTCGAAAGTCTCCGGAAAAATGTAGTACAACATGTCAGAGCGAACGAGTTGGCTGAGGCATACGTTGATCAGCTTGACATTAAGATCGCCCTACTTGTCAAAAATAAAATTACTCTTGACGAGGTTATCAGGCATCAAAAGCGCTTTACTGGTCATGTCGGAAACTTGCTTAGTAACACCGAAATCGCGAGCGCGGACCCGTTTGATCTCAAAGCACTCAATAATAACTCCCGGAAGAGACTTGAGCGATATCAACAAATGTTTTTTGCCCTTCAAACGCAGCCACAGTATCTAACTCGGATGTTCCAGAAGATTCGAGAGCAAAATACAGCTGACCAGGAACTGAAGCGGGTGGAGAACTTGGTTATGGGGATATTCGGATACGCCCAGAAGCGAAGGGAGGAATATTATTTACTCAAGCTGATAGCGAAGAGCATAAAAGAGGAGGTTGAGAATATCAGTCGTCCAGAAGAGTTTCTGAGGGTGAATTTCTTTTGGCTCAAATTAGCCATGAATTATATTAGGTCACCGAAAGATCGCAAGTTCTTTAGGGATGTTTTAGGACCTATAGTCAAAACAGAGTTCATCGAGAACGATGAATTGGACCTAGAAAGCGATCCTTTGCAAATCTATTTGTCGTCAATCAATAACGAGGAGCTCCGTACCGGTATGCGATCTAAGCGGAACCCCAACGTCGGCCGCGAAATCGCTATCCATGATCAAGAGACTAGGGAAACGTTTGTCGCACATCTTTCTGATCTGCGCAACCTTTCAGAGTACTTTATTAGTGCCATGGAGGACAATCTCAACCGCATGCCGTACGGTATTCGATACATCGCACAACAGGCAGTGACTTCTCTCCTTGCTAGATTCCCGAACGAAGGCGAAGATATCATACTGCAAATCGTTGAGCATTTCGTATATCAGAAATATTGGGGCCCCGCTGTGATCGGACCGGAATCGTTTGGTGTGGTGGAGAAAACCTTGACACCAATGCAGAAGAGAAACCTCGCGGAAGTAGGAAAGTTGTTAAACCAGATCTCTAGTGGGAGGCAATTCGCCCATGACAATATCTATCTACAGCCACTAAATCATCATATTATGGACGCAGTAACAAGGATGAAGGATATCTTCCGAGTGCTCATCAGTGTCCCCGATGCGAAGTCCCGATTTGATATTGACGAGTTTGAGGATTTGACCAGTAAAAAGAAGCCGACACTTTATATCAAAATGACGGATATCTTTGCTATACACAGATTGGTCGCTCAGGATATTGAGACTATTGCGCCTAGTCGAGAGGATCAGTTGAGGGTAATCATCAGTGAGCTAGGAAGCGTTCAAAACTCCGAGGCCGAATTGAAAAATGTAGGCAATACTGAGATCGGGTTACAACTGGACCCACACTTCCAGAAAATTGAAGACCCGGATAGTGAAGTCAACGCACTATTCGTGGAGACTAAGAGATGCATTCTTTATGTTGTCCGAGTTCAAACGGGAGCAAACTTAATGGAGATTCTTGTCAAGCCGATTGTTAGGGAAGATGAAGACAGATGGGAGCAGCTGTTGTTAGAGGAGAAGTCACAAGTGGGAAAGAAGAAGAGCGCTTATGCTGATGCCACCCACACCTTGAGCGATGTTAGCACGTATGTTTCACCTCATATACCCTGTATTCAACTATACTAACGGATATACAGTATGACCTACGCAGAGTTGAAACGAACAGCGTTAGAGTGCATCATTCGCCTCGAGCAGACCGGAAAAATCACCCGCAAGAATCATTACCAAGACCTATTAAACGCAATCGCTACAGACATCCGCACAAAGCATAGGAGAAGAATAGAAAGAACCAGAGAATTGGACGGTGTCAAGATGACGCTGGCCCACTTGAACGAAAAAGCACAGTATCTTGAATCTCAGTTACAGAGCTACAACGATTATATTGAACAAGCAATGGTCACCTTACAAACAAAGAAAGGCAAGAAGAAGGCCATTCTCCCGTTCACAAGACAATACTTCCACATGCGGGAACTGCAGCGTTCTGGGAGAGTTCCAAAGTTCGGTTCCTACAAATATACCGCGAGGGGCTTGGCGGATAAGGGCGTGTTGGTTAAACTAGATGGATTCCCTGAGAAGAGATGGGATAAGGTCAATTTCACGATTTCCTCGGACGAGGTTGGCATATTCTTTGTCGAGGCAAGCAACGGGAGCATGATGATCCCAGGAGCCAGCGCTCAGGTCTTGCTAGATGATCTTTTGCAGGTATGTACCCATTTTTCCAATTATCATAATTACAACTAAACTTAAATTTAATAGATGCAATTTCACAACAATCAATTCATGATGTTGTGTGACGGGATGATCAAATTCAATGTGAATTTATTTCTACATTTGATCTTCCGGAAATTTTACCGGGACGAGTAGAATGATTTCAACGGGTAACGACCACTATCTTTCGTTTTCTCTGCAGTCGGTATGAATTGGGCCAGGGTGGGAGGCGTTTCTTCTTTCATTTTCTCATGGGGGTCACTGGGAACTGGGACCGGTCTCACGGTTGATTTTTTCTTTCTTTCTATTGTTTTGGGCATACGAGCGTGGTACTTGAGCTGGCATCGCGATATTCATCTTTGCATTCTCTCTTTTGTTTTTTTTATGAGCGATCGTTGATATGAGTTTTGTTTTATACCTATACCCTTCTTTCACGATTCTTATTAATGTAAGATTCCTGCTTCATTTTGTGTTCTTATCCTTTTGGGGAGGAGTTTGATACCTTTTACATACATGTTTTACATGCTGGGCAATGAAGGGTTGGTGGCAGCCTGGGTGCTGCCGGGGAGGTAGATACTGTACATTCATGGTAGATAATTACTAGTTATTATCTGAGGAAAACTTCGATACCCCCTATTTTTTTACTGTTTGAATTTCATGATCCGTAAATGTCTACTCTATAGCTACATATAGTAAACGCAAAAAAATACTACTAGGATATTTTACGAATCAATATCATCAAATGGAGACACGTTGTGGTCCAGTACAAACCAGGGATGATTTGACATATGATGTCGTGTCTAGTGCGCCTACAGCGTGTTGTTGTCACAGCAACGAGCCCTGCAGATCCTGCGCCGGTCTTGGCTCGCCTAAACAAACACTACAGCTCATAACCTCCAAGCCCCCCTCAACTGTGGACGACCAACACCATCACTTAACGACCCAGAGACAACACTATCCAGCAATATTTCAAGTAGCATCATCGTTATAATCTTTTTCTTTGGTCTCTATTAGGATTGTGTGTCACGTCAATCCAGCCCTTCAAATTTATCGTAATCCGAGGATGGGCGACAGGTCATCAATCTGCGTTACTGGTAAGTGGCGATTTTCCCTTTAATACTCTTTACAGGTATACCTGACGAGGCTTAATTTATAGTACGAGTTCGACCCTTCACAATCCGGGAGGCAGCTCAAATGTGCGTTTTTTTATTACCCCACACCAACACCCGCGAACACACTAACTTATACATTCTAGAACCCGAATTGATGATGCTCCAACGTTCTTTGGTGATGGCTCTCTTGCCAGTATGCCAACGCCAAAGCTCACGGGCAAGGGTGTACGGAGTGTAGTTAAAGTTATAGATGAACGTGTCCTGTGCGTGCCCCGCTTTCCCCTTTGGTAGTTAGTCGATGCTGACGCTCCTTATCAGTGTCTTTGACCCGCCTGAAGATAACCCCGTAGCACGATACCAAAAGACAATATTGCCGCAGGGAAAAAAGGTTAAGGATATGCGATTTGGATTTGATAGAGTGTTTGATGAAACAGCAACACAAGATGAGGTTTATGAAGCTACGACGAGATCACTGCTGGACAGTGTGCTGGACGGATTTAACTCTACGGTGTTTGCATATGGTGCAACAGGATGCGGGAAGACACATACCATTAGTGGAACTCCGCAACACCCGGGAATCATCTTTCTTACTTGCGCCGAGCTTTTTGATCGCATCAACGCGCTCTCTGGAGAGAAAGAAATTGAGCTCACCCTATCTTATCTCGAAATTTATAATGAAACTATCAGAGATCTCCTCGTCCCAGGCGGCAGTAAGCTAGGGCTTCAGCTTCGAGAAGACACCAATCAGAATATCTCGGTCGCTGGATTGTCGACGCATTCGCCCAAAAATGTCCAGGAGGTCATGAACATGATTTTGATGGGGAACGCCAACCGAACAATATCACCAACAGAGGCAAATGCCACCTCTTCACGATCTCACGCAGTCTTACAAATTAATGTCATGCAGAAGCCCAGGACGGCAGGAATGTCCGAGAATCATATGTTTGCTACTTTGTCAATCATCGATCTTGCTGGAAGTGAACGTGCATCAGTCACAAAGAACAGGGGCGATAGACTTCTCGAGGGTGCCAATATCAACAGGTCGTTGCTTGGTAAGCTAAACTTTTTAAAGATCATTAACGATGGATCCATCCCAAACTAATGTTCTTGATAGCACTTGGAAATTGCATCAATGCACTTTGTGACCCTCATAAATCTAACCATGTCCCGTACCGAGACTCTAAACTCACGCGTCTTCTAAAGTTTTCACTGGGCGGCAATTGCAAGACAGTTATGATCGTTTGTGTCAGTCCTTCGAGCCAACATTATGAAGAGACCCATAATACCCTAAAATATGCGGATCGCGCGAAGAAGATCAAGACAAAGGTTTCCAGAAACACGATGAACGTGAATAGGCATGTAAGTCAGTATGTTAAAGCTATCTATGAGCTCCGGACGGAGGTAGAAGAACTTAAGAAACGCCTCAACGACTCGACAAAGGAAGCTATGGAGAAGATAGTTAAGCAGGGGGGTGCCAAGGATACAGCGATGAGGGAGGGAGCAAGGAAGCTAAAGGCCGCATATGAAAATTCGAAGGATCTGCAGAGGGAAAGAATTAATGACTTGAAGAGCTTGAGGGTGGTAGAGAGACGTATATCGTTAGTCTCCACATGGATAGCTGCATTCGACCACGTGTTCAAGAACCGTCAATACAATCAACAACCAACCGTCTATAAGGCACGAGATGAAGCTGAGAAAGTGCTTTCAGAGCTAAGAGGAAATCAGAAATACCTTCAGCAAAGACTTAGCGGACCGGGCTGTGAAAAGGTTATTGATCAAGCCCTAATGTTAAGTTTGCGCAGCCTCCAAGCAATCGAAGGTGTTATGGAAACCGACCTTGCTGCACTAATCTGTGAGGCCAACCTTCTCAAGATGACTGCTGAGCGGGACGCACTACACGCAGTGGCGAACACTGATCCAGACTTCTCCTCTATAATACACACTCTCTCAAAGGCCCACTTTGAGACTGTTGCTAAGCTTAGCCAGATTGGAGAGATTAACGTTTCAGAAGAACAGGCTGTTGAACAGGCGAGAAAATCACTTTTCGAGGTCCAAAAGGCTGCATCGGATGCGGTCTCTCATATCATTAAACCGAATGGAGAGTTGGCCTCGATAGATAGCTACCGACCAGCTCAATATACGCACACTACCCAGTCTAGTACGCCCAGACGCAGAATGGGAATCCCCGTTCCATCTCCAGCAAAACAACCAAGCTTTAACAACGTCACTACAGCTCCCCCCAATCATTTGAACCTCAAACGTCTCTCCCTCATCCTAAGTCGCCAAGACCCGTCAAGGTGAAGACCCCCAAGAAAGGTGTTAAGTTTGGACGAAAGCCAGACCCGAAAAAGAGCGTCAGGTGGCAGGATGAGGATGAAGACGAAGAAGACGACACCTTTCTGGATGAACCGCGCCAAAAACGACTCAACGAGACTTCAACGATTTTCGAGGAATCCATCTATGATGATTCAAACGAAAGGAGCCGACAAGAATTTTCACTTCCGTTCGAAGCATCACAAGGGATTATAGCTCCCCCAATAAGGCCAAGGAACAACAGGCTAGAAGTAGGATTCTTATCCAAGAATAAAGATGTCAGTCCCGCGGGTTTACCATTGCCTCGTTCCTCAAACTCACCACTCAGGACGTTCGATACAGACCAAGCCATCAATCGATCTAAATCCGATGCGGCAGCGCTCGGCGACTATTACCGTCCGACCGACGAGAAGCCCTGGCGAGCTAATTCCAGGCCCCTTAAAAGCGCAATGAAAAAGACAACTCACAAGCGGAGGGTTTCCGCGAGCACATCACAGATTAGTCCAAACGGTGATATGTTCGGGGTTGGGCACGCCCGCAGGATGCCTCGAAGCGAGCGAGACAACAGGAATGGGAGTGGTAGCATGTCAACAGTATTAAGTCCTAAGAGGGAAGGTGTGAAGGCGAGTGCAAGGAGAATGACAGTCAATGGTGGAAGTTTTAGAGTCAATAAAGATGCATTATTAGGTCATGTTAGGGAGAGTCAAAGAGAGCGGGCGGGGAGAGAAAGCATTGGTGGTGCAGGATTAGGGAGAAATAAATGGCGCTAAATCATTTCTTTGGGAGGCCGTCTGTCGTAAAGCATTATGGTTGTTGGCGTAATTTTGGAATGTGGTGTTTCTGTCATTACTTTCACTCGTAAGCTTTATTTTCCCATTGTATGGTTGATTTAAGAGGGACAAAAGAAACTTGGTTTTGGCCAGACCAACCAATGATTTGTTTTCTCTTGCGACCATTCCTAATTCTTGTTTTTGTTTACCCTTGGTATATTTATTTATGAGTTACGATTTATGTTAGTGTGCTTGAGTGCATGCACTTACCTTGTATATCCACAAGAGGGTGTGTGAGTGGATCTAATCTCGGATATCCCGTAGTTCTATATGTAGTTTACGCATGAACTTTATCTACCGAGTCATTTTCCATGACTGCACTTCGCACAACTTCCTCTTTCTACCAAACAATCCTCCCTCTTATTTGTAGAACTTTCATACATCCAGTGCATTATAAAAGACCTGCTTGCTCATGAGCAGCCGGCTCGCAGCTATTTCAACAATTGCGAGTTAATCCGTCATTTAACTGGAATTACCAAGATTTCGAGTGATTATACGTCAATCGAGAGGAAAAAATTGTGGCAGTACTGACAAAAACAACATCTTTACCATCCATCCTAACACTCATTCCACCGTTAGTTGAATTCGAGTCTAATAATAAACTCTCAAAGGGACATAAAATTTTATCTGGTGCCAGAAGTGAATCAAGAGTGAGATCCTGTGATGCAACAATAGGTAGGGCCTTTCTGAGAACACGAGCTCCCTCTTCCACGCCTGGCACGAGAAACCGAGTACTACATTTAGAGTTTTTTAGCCGCGTGTTACCATTGGGTTGGAGTCTTACGAGTGATGGATTGTGAATATGATCACCTGATATGTTTATACTAGGCAAAGCTTATGTGATCAGAGTCAAAATAGGTGCTTCGTTTAGAACTAAAGATCCCCTAAATACGGGTTTATCGGTGTACGGGGGGTCTCACTTACTGTTTAATACAGGATAGAACGGTACTTCCTAGCTTTTTTTTTTATTACTATTTAGTCTTGGGCATTACGGGTTTTTTTCCTACCTGGAACAACTGATATTTGGTCACCGGGCATCACTCGCACAAAACCGTCTATAGCTATAATTCCTTAACTTAAATTTCACACCAAACCAAAATACAAAAATCTGCATTGTTCGCCTCCGTACCTATCTACGCGCGTCCCAGCAAGTATTTTCCACCCTCCACCAGACTAGGAATCCACTCTCCCGCCGCCTTCCATTGTGAAAACTCATAAAATGTGTGTGGCAGCCCTGGGAAGATTTTCATTCTCGTCTCTACCCCACTCGCCTGCAAGATCTTTGCGTAGATCAATCCATCGTCTCTTAGCGGGTCACCTCCCGCAACCTCAAAAAAGGCTTTCGGAAGTCCCTTATGCGACTTAAACAACACCGGACTGAAAAGGGGGCTTGTCGGATCCGGTTTTACTGTATCTGTGCGGTACAAACAGAGTTAGCCCAACATAAAAACATATACAATCTTCTCCCTCTAGCGTCGGGGTTTACATACTGAAAATGTACTCCATAGATTTTGCGCTAATGATTACTGCATCTTTGTTATCGATATCGGAAGTATACTCAGCGCGCAGTTCCTCGGGGATAAAATCGAGGTGGCCACGGCTAAAGAAGTTCCCCTGACTGAGGAGCTGCCCAGTTAGTGGGGGTGTAAGATTTTCGTCGCGGGCGAGATGCGCTACGATGGAGGACATGTTGGCGCCAGCTGATGTGCCGCCAATGATGAAGCCTTTGGTGAGGTCTGCGTTGAGTTTATCCGGGTTTGCGGATACCTAGACTGTAGTGTCAATTGTGAACTCAACCGAGGAAAGAAGCGTATTGACATACCCATCTGACGGTGTCATGAACATCGTTCACTGCGGTGGGAAATACCCATTTGGGTGCCAATCTATAATCAATATTCACAACAGCGACTTTAAGTTCTTTTGCAAACACTCGGCAGAGGGTATCGTCGCTCTCCAGGCCGCCGAAAACCCATCCTCCGTAGTGGCTCCATATGATAACAGGCCAAGTGGTGTTTTCTGGGCCCTCGGGATATAGGAGCGTATGGGAAGGCTGTAGCCATCTCGAGCAGGAATGGTGAAGTCGGTGATAGTGAAGCCAGTTGTGGGGATCGTGACGTTACGGCTGGGATTGAAGAGATTCTGGAGGGCTTGACGGGCTTGTTCACTGCCTCCTATGTCCGCGAGGTCTGGGATGGGGTTTGTAACTCTAAGGTACTAGATTGTAATCGGTCAGTATATTCTATACTTGTGAAATTGCGTGAAATTGAGGCAAGTATGAGAATTTACTTCAGCATATTCTGCAGTTGGTTCAGAAAGGTAGGAATTTGGACCCAACATTTGAGCTTTGGTTTTGATTTCTGTTCTTTAGTTGTAGTGAGAAAAGGCGATTGTTGACCGGTTTACTGAGTTGAATGTTTATCGAAAGAGTAGCGATTTGATGGTGTTTATATACTCAGTCTCCCCCTCGTCTCTGGCTAGAGAGTGTGATAACACCGGACCCTACAGTAGCTTGGATTAGCCTGGAAGTCCTTCGACATGATTTGAAATATCCAGAGAAGCGCCTAGAAATAGAACACTGCCCATCCTTACAGCAATGGTAATTTGTAAGTCAGTGATGTCCTGACGCAACAATTTATGCTTAATTCAAGGTAGAAGTAGCACTCGAGGGGTCGAAATCATCTAATCCACCAATAAAACGCCTCGGCATTATAAAGAAGAAGGCAATTAAGTTTTGTGATTAATAAAGTTTTTTCCCCCATTCCACGTGGAGGGGCTGATTGAAGATGAATAATCGCCCAACTAACCTCGGGAGTAATATTAGTGATGGTAGCTAAATATGTCGAGGGTGACCACGATTACATACAACCCCGAATGTTTCAAGCTTAACCTTAAAAACGCTCGGGGGCGGTTGGTAGTAATAGTTATGCCGATGCTAAATATTTACGTATTTGATATCGCTTGTCGAGGTAGCAAAGTTATGTGTCGTGATGCCAAGGCCGAGTGCGATTCCGTGATCTTTTCGAATCCTTTAGTTGGCTTGATTTATTATCTTTGTGAGTGGATGGTTCACCGGTAGCTCTATAGGGAAGAGAGAAAAAAGAATTCTCTTACTGTTTTACAATGAATTAAGCAAACGCCATGACCTCGAGCGCTGGAAACAAGGCTGGCGGAAGAACAACTTGATGGGTACGTTTGAGACTGTGTTTCTGGTAGACAGGCGTTCTCGGAGTGAATGTAAGACCAAATGCCCAAGGCATGTTTTTCGCGGTGACAGCGATGACAATAGAAGGTGACGCTGGCATCGAGGGGTGTTCATCACTGATCAGGACAGCCTGTCAGGGTAGTAGCTAGACAGCACGGTGTACTCTTAATCCTGACCTCATGCTCGTAATGTTTACAGGGTATCCCTTGATATATCCCTCAGTCGTGCGCTCGAGTTCTTAGCAACATGTGCACTTGCTATCTAAGCTAAGCTTACGTAGCAAGGTGGGAGGGGAATTAGCCTAGCTTTCCTACCCATATGCTCACCAACCTTGTGGGTTTTCCGTAGCGACTGTTTACGTTTGGAAACACTGAGTGATCTTTTATGACCTGAGACTCTGTATGCTTCTTTATGATTTACAAGGACGGTGTGACATTTACTACTCCACTCCCCTTGACAGACGTAAGGTTTATTTAACCGGACGACCCGAAAGGGTTGGAATGTTCTCCTTATTTACAAAACATCCCTTCGTCTTGTTCTAGACAGATACCAAGACTTACCTTTGTGTTTAGTCACCCTCTTGTCAGCCTACTAGCGTCTTGTCAGGGCTTCAGTGCGGATTAACGCGGAGAAAGAAGCACAACAGACGGCGCCATGTATATAAAGAAGGGTCAGAGAACCCTCCCGTGTATTCTAGCATCCACCTGCACCACAACCTTAACCAAGCCCCCTCACGCCCACACCAAGAATCCAAGCGCCCTCACAGTGAGTTAGTAAACAGCACAGACTTGCCAAGACCCGAGTGCGATTCGATGACTGTGGTGTTTCACCACTAGTACTACCACCGTAGTTGCCTGAATGGGAAGATTTGTTATTAAACCCAAGTAAATTACACCCCAATCTTAAGCCGACCACGTTTCTTGAGCTAAAACTGGATCTGGGTAAGCTGTCTTAGCCAGTAACTAAGGGCTGTTGTCTTATCCCTGCACTCTTCCAACAACCCCGGAGATGATTGATAGATGAAGCGTAAGGCCTAGGGTACGGTACGTTGACTTGACCCCATGGAGTAAGATATCAAATATCATTAAATACGCACCTCGTTTACCTGATTAGAGCAATTAACGACATCGCTTATTATACTTATTATGTACCGCTAAACACGTGTGTACCCACTTACATCTCGGATATTATCAAGCCCTAGAATGTTTATGTCTATTTTTGTAGGGGGTTGATTGAGGTGGGCATACCATCCGTTCGTTAAGCATTGATGACATCTGTGCGGTTGTGTTGTAATGGTCCGACCGTTCCCCACTAAACTGCTACAACCACTACCCAGAACTGTCAGCCAAGGATGGTAGTCTATAATACCACATATGCCGAAGAGTCCAGAGCGTTAGGAGAAAAGGAGATCATGGTATTCTACCTAAACAATGTAAACATACGTGTTTGTAATGCCAGCCAAAAAAAAAAAAATCGCCCAGACGGAAAATCGTAGCTTGGCCAAACGCCCTCACATCTGCCAGTAATAATACCTCAGCCTCCCCCCCCCCCCCCATCCCCCCACGGAGAAACCACGGAGAACCACGGACAGGAAACGTCCGACAATCTTACTGGAGCCATTCCATCATCGACAAAATCGAGATCCTAGGGAATTAACTGTTCACGGGTGGTCACAGTGTACAACAATGCCCGTAGCGTAGTCCGATGAGCTAGAAAGAAAGGGATGGGAAACCCTAAAAAAAAAAGGAAAGAAGAAATAAGAAAAAGAGCAAGCTTCCTGCAAGCTAATGAATGCTTTCAACTCATCCCCCTCCCTCACAATTAAAGAAATTAAAGAACATCACCACAAAACCCGCCCATCGAGATTCCACATGGTTTGCTGTCCTATACATCTCGGTCAGCTGTTCCCTTCATGGGCCGACTTCAAAGAAGCAATCCAGGATTGGTCCATCGCCGACAAATTCCAGTTCAAGTCTCTACACAAAGATCGATCTCGTGCCGACATAAGGTGTCGGACGCGTACGAAGAAAGGTGATTGTCCATGGAGGGTGTATGCCACGATCACACAGAAGCATGATATTAAAGTCAAGATACTAGAACCCAATCACAATTGCCAGCGTGCAGAGCGAGCGGCAGCGAAACGCGAGACGTGCAACAGCCAATCGTGGCTCAAACGACATGTACCGAAGCACCTAATTGTCACGAGAGAAACACGACCAGAGGAGATACAGGACGTAATAAAGAGCTATTACGGGGTGGATATCAACTACCAGGCGGCGAATGACGTGAAGAACACACTATCCAAGCAGTACAAAGTCAAGATGGTACAACCAAACTTACCAGCATATCTCTATCCTCCTCACATCGACCCTCATCCAAACAACGATATCGGAGTGTGGTTTAAAGACGCTTCGGCTGCATATCTTGGCAGGGACTCCCGCCAAGCGAATAGCTCAACGACCACCTCGAATAGCTTTAAACGTTTCTTCCAACAGAACTCTTGTATCCCGTCACCATCCACGATAGATACAAAAGATGGTGAGTTCATCAACCCCCACCCTCTTCTCCCACCCTCCTTTGGCATTGAATCGTTCCAGTCCTATCGTCATTCTACATCCCCCTCCATCCATCCATCCATCCATCCATCGTCATCCCCCGCCCACTGACACTCCCGAGCTACAATAGTCGAACCAAACGCCAAACTCCGCCTCTCTAACCCTACGCGCGAAAAACGGATCCACCACTGTGTTCCTATTTGCCCAGAAATCCGACTCTCTCCTGTCCCTCAAGTCTCAAATCCATGAGCTGTTACAGCAAAACAAAGACAACATCGTCACGCCCATTTCCGACAGCGCAGACGAAATCATTCTCGGAGCCCCCATCGACCAAGCCGACCTAAGCAAGGGCTTCCAAACAATCCAGAACCAAGACAAGAAGCGAACCACTGTGCAGGATGCAGGATTGAAGGATGTATCTGTCATTGGCTACAAGGTCGGGGAAGATGCGGATTTTAGCGTGGAGGTTCCAAGCGACGACTTTGATGATTCGCAGCAGGAGTAAAAATCTACCCCATCGGCTCGATTACTCCCAAATGTGACGAACGTTTTTCCTTTTCTTTTTTCTCAGGTATCAGAAATCAAAAAAAGAAAAAATTATTTTAACAAACAAAAAAAAAAACTGCCGTATCGCATCGTATCGCATTCCCAACGTGCAAAACAAATCTCCGACACGTGCACTCCTTCGGGCTTTGTTACTAGCTGGTTAACCAGCTGGGCTGGGAGTGCCCGTGAGAGATAAGATATCTACCCATACCTACATGGAGCTTACCTACTGAATACCAATTCCGTGCTTTCATCCCGCAGAATGGATCATATAAATAGAAGATGTGATGACTTGTACCTACTGTAGGTACTTTATCTCGGACTTTGAGAGGAGCTCGGTTATGGGTAGTTGCATAAAGCACTTTGCCTACAATCCGCCCATATGGTAATAACTGTCATTGGCCCTCTACTCGAGTTACGCCCCACCCACCATGCACCGTAAGCCTCTTATCGGTAGAGACCAGACCGATTTTATTTTATTTTTTTGTAGAAACCCTCAAAGACGGTAAACCCAGCCGAGTGATGGGGAGTGACGCGGTGGTGGCTTCCACATGCCGCTTTGGTCCTGTTTGGAAGAGTCGTCCATGCAGGGTAATTTTGGACGACCAATCGCGATAGTGCGCTTGGCGATGCCCGTAGTTGATGTCGCTGATCGAACTAGCTGTGACGTTTGGCAATTGTGTTTAGCGAAGTTGATGTAGAGCTCGAGTGTTGTTTGCGATTGCATACGTGCATACAGTCACACCTCGCTATCTCGTAATTCGATATCTCGGATCTCTTGCTGTCTCGTACGGATTTGCGGGACAGGCCTACTACCCTTCTTCACCAAAAGCTATTTGCTGTCTCGTATATTTGCTATCTCGTATATTTGCTATCTCGTAGGGGTTTGGCTCCCAAAATACGCTAATGACATAATGAGGTACGACTGTAATTTGGTATTGGTTCTGGTCAATTGATACTCTCGATATGCGTTTCTTGTGATTATTGTGATTATTGCGATATTTTGTAATCAATGGAGGTAACAGGTTAATGGCAACAATGATCATTGGTGTCGCCAACGTAGGGTAGCATCATCATCTATCACCCCCGTCACCACTTATCACTAGCGATCACCAACCATCACCCTACATATTGAAAAAAAAAAAAAAAAAAGGCCATCGCGATGTTCAATGCATCCGATGCAGTTGTGGATCCCTTACCTCGGTCCTCTGTCTCAAAGCTATCTTTCTGTAAAGAAAGAAAAAGAAAAAAAGAAAACGTATATGTAGGTATCGCAAACGCCCGTCGGAATCGATACTGTAAGCGATAGCGGGGGGAAAAAGAAAAAGAGATGGTGATGTAAGATTTCTTCTAGAAAAATAAGATCTAGAAAAAATGCTCTGTTACTATGTATGTAGTACTATCGAATCATAACCACATATATACCTGCATATATGCAGTAATCACTCATATGTAAAATCATATACTCGTACCTCCAGTGTAGTACCACAGTCCATCTCAACCTACGTAACAGTATGTACTCTCATGCCGACTCCGTAGTAGAAACCGGCCAAAGATGAAGGTGCCACAATTTATCCCTTGTGTAGGAGAGAAAAAGGAAAAAGAGATGCTATGTCGTAAAGCTGCAACTAGTTACGCACAGATGTGATAACGATACGATGGACGGAGTAAATAAATAAAGAAAAACAAGGAAATGCATTTACCATTAGAGAACAAAGAATTCAAAGCTGAGAAGAAGAAGCAGAATTGGAAACCTTTTATGTAGTGTCCTCTAATCGCATTGGGTATTTATCCCTTCTGTAGCAAAGAAAAACGCTATATCGCAAAGCTGCAACACCTTACGCACGGATCCGATAGCGATATGTTGCGACGAACACGTTTACCACTAGAGAACAAAGAATTCGAAGAGAAAAAGAAGCTGAAGAAGAAGCTTTCTATCACCATGTAGTGCTCCCAACCACACATGAATCTTTATTTCTGCCGTAGAAAAAAAAAGAAAAAGAAAAAAGGGAACCCTGTGACGTTGTAAACCTCAATCAATACCTTGCGCACAGATACCATAACGATACGATGAACGGAGGAAATATAAAACATGGGGGAATGGGAAAATACATCTATGGTGCAAGAGGGAGTAGAGGGCGACCCCGTCAACCCTGTACACACCACTTCAGTCAATTCCTTCGTTGGCTACGGGAAGCAAGCGTTGAGGAGCCTCACCTCTAACTCGACTCTATGGCTGTAAGGGCTACAATACTGAACTGGTGTGAACAGGGATGACAAGGTCGCCCCCCAAGACCTCTCGCACCATACCAATAATAATTAATCAAAGAAGCAGAAGAAACCATTTCGCATCCTTCGTATGTATGTATGTAGTCACTATATGGCCAACCACAATTCCACATGAGTTGCACAGCCACAAGTTAGATACTCACCCAAACGGCCCAGACCCTTCCTCACCAGTAAGGCCGAAGCCAAGAAACAACATCTTCTGTCAGGACATGGGATTAGTTAATCCATCATAACCAGTAATAAAGTATACTTCTAGAACCCTTATTCCAACGCCTTATATGTGTGTGTATGGTGGAATAGGGTTATTCGTAAACTAGGGTTTGGGTTTCTTTACTTTGTGTTCGAGAAGAAGAAAAAACTAGTACTATGAATAGGGAGCTATGTATTTTTCTAGCAAACAAATATAGTCCCGAGAGGTACTCCACTATCCAGAAAAAAGATGATAAAAAAAAAAATTCAAAACCCTATTCCACCATCACCCATCATCACCACCTAACCATCAGCCACCCACCATCACCAACCTACTACTACTACAAAGCTGACTAATCCCACCACCCTAACCTCACGCTACCGCCGCACCAGTAACATGTCAGCAACAGTAGTAATAGTAGCAACCCGTGTTTTTTGTACCACCTCCTACTATTGCTTCTTGGCAAATATCCCAAATAAAATGTCCTACTTTTTGAAATTCTTGGCAAATAAATGACCGAGTGATGGGTCATGAATATGGCTCTGTATTCCTCTCCGCCCTCTCCCCTAGGACACTCTCTTCTTATAACATACACAGAGGGGAAAGGCTAGAAATAGAAACTAGAAATCTAGTTACAAACCACAAAACAAGAAGAAAGAAAAAAGAATAATCCACGCCGTGAATAAGATTAACGCCGCTGTCAAGTAGAACTAAAACCGCCCCCAACCACAAAAAAAAAAGGTCACAAAAATGGTCCAATAAAAAAACATTACCCCGCCACTACACCCGCCGTACGTACCCTCGGCAAACACTCATGGTCGCACCCCACGGCCGCACACGCATCCATCTCGTGGTCAAAAAACCATTCCCGGAGACACTGATCATGGCCGCCATGTGAGCATGTCTACACATCACCCATGCACATTAGCCACCAATCACCACACATACATGGAAAGAAGCAATTTGAGATTCACCTGGCACATAGTCCACCGTCCCTTCACTGTCTCACGACAGATGACACACCCATCTTGCAGCATCTGGCAGCGCTCGCAGTACCAGCTACCGCTCTGTGTGATAGGCTTAAAGCACCGTCCGCAGCCAGCCTTCGCGAATGTCTGGTTCCCGCCCGCAGCGCGTATAGGCTCTATACTCGTCGTCTTCACGATTGCAGCGGCAGGGACGAAGAGGTTGAATCTGCGGAGAAGCTCTATTTTCCATCAGTTTTTTCTCTTTCTATAAAGTTTGTTTATCTGGTTAAATAGGAGAACGCACGGAGATAACCCTCCACCCACTCGTCTCTCCTCCGCTCCTCAACCTTCATTCTTCCGGCCAGCAGCAGCACAACCGTCGCACACATCTGCACGTCCCCGCGCTCGCAGTACCAGTCCACAAACTGGTCCACAAGCTTCTGCGGGCTCCACGGCCGGTCCTGGTCTGCCGCGTCCTCCTCGGCCTGATACTCGCCGACCCGCAGCTCCGGGATCGTTGTCGAGTGCTGTAGGGGGTCTTCTTCGAGGATTGGGGCCATGTCATGCTCGTGCCCGTTCTGGTAGTGGTCGTGCTCGTGGTCGTTATCCTCCTCCTCTGACACGCGGCCGCCGAAGCCGGCGTGGGTGCCGTAGGAAGAGGATGTTGCGGAGGAGACAAGGCTGTATTTTCGGTCGCGGGTCTGCCGCTTCTCGGGGACGGGGGCGGGGGGTAGTTGTGTGAAGTCTGGGTAGAACGGATATGGGTGTGGGGCGGGATCTTCGACGGGTGCGACGGGTAGAGGTGCGACGTCGGGCCATGGCTTATGTGCGTGATCTTCAGCGCTGGCCTCATGGCTGTTGATACCCTCGTCGCCGTTCCGGGAAGTGGCAATATGGTGGACATGACTCCTCTGCTGGCCATCTTCATCGCCATCTGTGCTCCCGGTGCTACTCCCAAGGCTGGTCCCGAAGGCTACCGGCGGCTGCAAGTGTCCCTCTTCCTGTGGCGTTACGCTCCTTACGGGAGTCCCGGAGACCGCCGCCACCTGCGGTGTTGGCGTCGCAGTGCCGGATCCTTCCAACGCCCGCGCAACCGGCCGCTTCCGCTTCAGCAGCATTCGGTCCTCCCACTCCAGTGACATCTGCAGTATGCGCCATGTCTGCGCCGTGCGGAATTGTTGTGCGCGCAACGCAGCACGTGCGTTTCCTGCACACGCTTGGCTGAGTGTTACTTCCCCGAGGTCGCTGGAGAGACTGTGGATGTATCGGGTTGCGAGGAACGTAAAGGCGCCCTTATCAAACAGCCCGGGAATGCTGACCCGCGCGGACGCCTGCGTGGATGCGTGATGCTTATCGCTGAGCGTCTCGAGGATCGACAACGCGGGCTTAAGGCCCTTGAACGACGAGCTTCTTCCTGGCCGGCGCTCTCTGACTATCTCCTCTTCCGTCTCGAAGCGGCTCGTTGATGGCCCACTGCGGCGGACACGCCCACAGGGCTGTGCAGCAAATGTAAAATCGTCAGTGGGGCCCCAATCGAATGCTGCATGCGAGAGCGAGTTGATGGGCTGCGTCGCAAAGAGCACATCGTTCTGCACGAACGTCATGTCCTTGGAGCAAGAGTACAGGATATCCTCATCTTTCCACAGGATGCCGGTCGTGGAGCCCACATGCTCGTCGATGATGCGCGCGGGGATGTACGGCCGCTTGAGGTCCCACACATGCACCCGCGGGTCGTTGTTGATTGCGCAGGTTGCAAGCTCGGTGGTGCCGTTGCGACGGGGCCGCCAAGCGATCCGTGAAACCGAGCACATGGTTGAGATGGTGTGCTTGGGCTTTCTGCGCCCATCGTCGGAGTACAGGTCCCACACATTGACAGTACGGTCGCGGCCGCCCGAGGCGCAGTGTTTGCCGTCAGGATGCCAGTCGACGCTGAAGACGGGGCCATCGTGCGCGTTTATCTTTCGCTCATAGATCTTGTCCTGTCTGTAGTCCCATCTCTGCGCAGAACGTTAGCTACCCCCACTCCCGGGGAAGGGGTGGTGGGGGGATTCTGAGGGATTCCGAGGGGGGGGGGGGGGGGGCGGAGGCAGGGGACGGGCACACACCTGGATGGTCCCATTATCAAACGCGGCCGCAAACTCGACCGCATTGCCACTATTGAACTGTACATCCCTAACCGCGTCCGACCTGCCTGCAAACGTGAGCCTGCTCTTCTTCTCCCTTAGATCCCACAGCTTTATCGTCCCATCCTGGCTCGCGCTCAGCAGTAGCCTCCCATCCGCCGGGTTGAAGGCAATCTTATGCACCTGCCTACCATGCTCCCGGAGCTGGCGCTCCATGACGCCCACCTTTGCATCGTACAGACATATCGTCCCGTTCGTGCCCGCCGTCGCGATCGTGCTCTTCTGCAGGTGCGTGCCCCACTTGACGTCGTACTGGATCAAGATCTTGCGCTGGCTGTCGGGCTGGCGCAGCGTCGACACCTCGCTGATGTCTGTGCGGCCGACGCGCAGGATGCGCAAGATCTCGCGGCCAGCGACGACCACGTTCTCGCCGTCGGGTTGGGCCGAGATCGCGAGGATGGGTGACTGGAGGCTGTAGCGGATTGTGCGTGGGTTGAGGATGTTCCTGCAGCATGTGGGGGAGCAAATGTTCAGTTTTTGTCTTTTCTTCTTTTTCTCTCATTATGATTCCTGTGCGATGATGAATGAATGAATGGTATGGTATGGTAAGGAAGGAGAATAAGGATAAGAAAATGTTTGTTTATTTTTGTTTCTTTAATGTATGTATATATGAATTATTATGAATGAATAAATCCCACAGCCCGGGAGAAGAGCCTTACGGTGCACTAGTGGGGTCAGGCCTGCCCGACGAACTCGGGGTCTGCTGGACCCAATGAAGGGGTGTGCCAGGCGGGCAAAGACGGCACCGCCGGAGGTGCGGCTTCGCGGGACAGTGCTGAAGGGGTTTGTATCGGCCATGGCTACCATCATGATGTGGTGAGAGGGGGCACGTTCATGGAGGAGCGGTCCATGCGAGAGTGGGGAGAGGGGTGGGGGAGAAGCAGCTTCTTTTTGTTGTTGGTTGTGGTGTTGCTATTGTTGTTGTTGTTGTCCTTCTTGAGAGGGGGGGGGATGGAGGGAAGTGAAGGAGGGGGGGGGGGGGATGTTAGTGATTTGCTTGAATGAGAGTGAGGGGGGTGAGGGGATGGCCGTCGAAGTGGGAGTGATGATGCTGATGATGATGGGAGTGATGATGATAGGAGTGGTGGGAATGGATAGCTGCAGAGGGGGAGGAGATGTAGTGTTGGTGCAGCGAGCGAGTAGTGGTGGTGGTGGTGCTGTGTGAGTGGATGTGTCTTCTTCCTCTTCTTTCTCTTCCTCTAACCCTGTAGGTCTGATATGTGCTCTGCAGACATCCCCAAGTGCTATGGGACGAGACAGATCTGGGGGCTACTCTGCAACCTAGTCTGCTCTGCATATATCTCTGCATACCTACATGTACCCTGTCCACAAAATGGCACTCACTTTACAGACACACACACACAGAGAGCTATCGCTCTCTCTAATCTGGTGCAGGGACAAGGATGCTGGGTCAAATCAATCCAAGCGAACCGACTGGACGGGAACAAGTGGTACCGGCAGGGGGTAAAACAGAGAATGGCCGACAGGGGAGTTGGGTGGTGATGATGCGAGGTGACTGATGTGATGTGACAGCGGCAGCAGCAACAGCAACAGCGAACGAGAGCCTTCTTAATTCTCTTCTTTCTACATTATATTACATACTAACACTGAAGGAAGAGGAAAAGAAACAGAACAGAACAGAACAGAAATCGAACAATGCTGCATTGCATCCGCCCAATTGTGATGGAGTGAATGGGAATCACAGCATGTGTTCTGCAACGCATATCCGGAGTTGAGCTCGTACATGCATGCCATATGTAGGCAGGCAGGCAGGTAGACTCGTAGAGTACTCATCCTACGCAGTCCACGTCACAAAGACACGCGAGATTCCTGGTTAATTATCAACGAAAACCCAGTGAGAGACACGAATAATCAAATTGCAGAAACAGACATATCATACCAGGTAGAGAGATAGGTGAGGAGGAAGGCTGTAGAGGTATTGTGGGTTAGGGTCCTCTCCAGGTCACGTGCGCCAGCAAACACCTCCTCGCACCCGACCGGCCATCAAGCCCTCTTTCTCCGACGGAACACGGAGCCTTCCACGCAGCATGCAGGCGAGGGGTGGCATGGCATGGCATTCGAGAACAGAGGGAATTCGAAGGGAAGCTCTATCTGCCGATCCCTCACCATCCAATCCCCAGTCCAACCCGCAGAACTTCCCCTCCTCACCTCAGATACCCAAACTTCCATCACCCCCACCATGCCCAATCACTATTTCACTCCCAATCGCTAACCATCCTATCCTACTATCACTTGTATACTCGTGTTTTCACAGCGTTTGTGAACACAACCGGCATTACATACACACAAAAAATAGCCAAGACAACCTTTTTGTATGGCATGCAATAGCGGTGGTGTTCACAAACGCTATGAATAGACGAGTATACGGTGCATACCACGTCTATCTATCATTGAAACTATATAACCTGCACTATTGCATTCCATTCCAACCCACCACCAATCCCACAACCTTTCCACCCACCAACTTTCCACCACACAAAAAGTCTCACACTCAGGCCCACCCACCAACCACCACCAGGGCGATCAGATACAGATACGACAAAGCCGATAAGCCCTCTCTCGCTCCCTCCACCCCTTCCCTCTTCCCCCTTCCCCTTCCCGATGAGCGGGCCGATCACAGAGGTCGGAATAAGCTCGCGGCTCTGACGTCAGCACGGAGCATTACTTTTTCCGCTCCTACCCAGCTCCCAGGGGGCTAGCAAAACCACGTCCCGTCCAGTTTCAAACATGCCCATTGCGCCTTTCTCACCAACTCCCCCCAGCCAGCGCCTCCCACAAAAATCTTATTCTGACCTCCAACGATCAGGGTATTTGATATTATTAAATTTTTTTGGTTTAGTTTGCAGATTTAAAGAAAGAGAAAAAGGGGAGAATAGAAGACGGAAAATAGAAAACCCGTGTAAGTTAAAACGCGCAACCGAAAAGGTATCTATGTTACAGCGCCCCAATCCATGCAAAAGCAGAAAGAAAAAAAAAGAAGAAAAAAAAAGGACCAAATAATAGTCGGAACGAGATCAGTATGCGCCCAGGAAAGGAAAAAAAAAAAAAAAAAAACCAACATCAACATCAACATCATGAATAAGCTGGAGATGGCAACGAAGCAAGCAATAATGTAGAAGCAAAAAAAAGCAAGGAAAAAAAGGCAAGTACCCCCCCTACCCAGTCCAGTCCCAATCCCATGGCTTCGTAATAATAGAAAATGACTAAGCGCTGCAGAAAAAATAAAAAGGATAATGCAAAAACAAAAGAGAAACCCCGAGTAGAAAAGAAAAGGAAATGATGACATCGCCGAAATACGAAACATATTGAAACACTTATTGTTGAACCATGCCCCCTTCCTCCTCCGGCACCCAAAAGAAAGAGATGGAAACGGATATCTCGAAAATATTGTCGACCCCCCCCCCATGAAATGTGAGCTTAAAAAAAGAAAAAAACAAATCTGACCACGTGGTAGCCCCGACGCCGCCATCGCATCTCCTAATAGGTCGGAGCTCTCTCCAATCCCAAGCAGTGCCTTTCAAAGAGCTCATTAATGAAGTGCGGGTGCTTGATCCCGGGGGGTCGTGCCTCCTGGAATGCCTGAAGTGCTTTTGGCACCGTAAAGTTCAAACGCTGGATCAAATAAGAACACACGAAGAAACCCGTCCTGTTAAACCCGTAATGGCAGTGGCATGCGATGATGGAATTATCATCGTAGCCCCTTGACTCGCGGATCGAATCGACAAGCTTGATGAACGCGGTAACTTCGTCCGGGGTTGGTGGCATCTTGGACACAGTCGGGACTAGTAAAACACATAAATCAGCATCGAAACAAAAAGAAATTAGGTAATCGATCAAGTGAGGGGAAGAAAGAGAAAAACTTACATTTGTGATACCTGACACCACTCCCGAGAGTCTCTGGGTCATATGGAGGCTGTTCGTGAGAGATATCAATGACATCTCTCACATCCGGCCATTTGGCGGAGAAATCCACTGGATTGTGCCCACTCGAGTCGTTCTGTCTGAGCGTTTTCATTGCCCGGAAGGGACTCTGGACAAGTTTGCCCCGTGGTGCGTCCGCGGTGAACCCAACTATCCTTGGGCTTACGCTCTGGGTCTTAGTCCATTTTTCTAAGTTCTTCAAGAGCCATTTGTCTTCCTTGAGGTAGGATAACTGCCACCCCATGGAAAGTATCTCGTTGATATGCTTGGATATGAATTCACCAATGAGACCGTTCAAGACATGCGGCGTTTCGTACATGACGCCGTGACCAGCACCAGGGATGATGCATTTCTTTACCACCGCCTTGCACTCCCCGGAAGAGCTGCTGTTGCCTGAACCGGAATCAGGGAGAGTGACCTTCTTATTTGCAGGACTGAACCAGGAGTGGATAAGATCGACCTCTTTGGTGGTGGTGACCTGATCTTCGGCAGCTCCAAGCAGATAGATCGGACATTTAATCAACGACCAGTCCTCCTCTGTCGGCAATTGGAACCCGCTCACCATCCGCCTCCAAACAGGGGTCCTGGACTGCTTATTGAACCGCAGCTGCAACTTCCTAACCTGTTCCGAAGCGTTGCTGCCAACGAACCGATTAACTGACTTTGACGAGATTCCGCCGCGACGATCGTAGGCCCTGAAGACGTTGAAGAGAACCTCTGGTAGCGAGACCGCAGTCGCCATAGCCTTTCTTTCTTTTTCCCGTAACCGTGGCTTTCGGGCAAATTGCGATGAGGCCGACGCATTTATCCGCCAACAGCCCCCCCTTCGTTGCGAGAGTCGCGGCCAGCGAACACCCCATAGAGTGTCCGATAAGGATCACCTGCTGCCCTTCCTCAAGTTTTCCGTTGACTACGCCGGCTATCACGGCTGCCAAGGACGGAGTCGTGTATGCATCCCAATCCTTTGGCGCGAACTCTGAATCGGGGCCACAGCCAGGGAGATCGATCGCGAGCGTGTGTGAAATGTGAACCTAATAGCATGAGAAACATCAGCACCCATCCGACGAAACATAAGTTGGTCGGACAACAAGAGAACGAGGGGGGGAGCAGCGACGCACAAAGTACTCGATAAGGTAGCGGAACTGCGACAACTGTCCTCCAAGACCTAAACAGCAAGTCAACTAAAGTTCGCCCCAGTAGTAGCAGCAGAAGCAAAGATAGACTCCATACCATGGATAAAGACAAGCAGAGGAAGCTTTGGTGGAAGTACTGAAGCTTTGGGGTGCTCGCGGTAGAAGATGCGAACCCCTGGGTAGTTATAACTGTCCGTGGTAACGGGGATCACCTCCGAAAATTTACGGAGAAGCCCCGGGTCTGTGTATGCAGCATCATCTGAATTCATTAGTCCAGTTGCTCTATCTCGATGTGGTGATTACGCAACAGGAGGAGCAAAAAGAAAAAAAAGTGCAAACAACAAAGGAAGGTGGATTGGAAGCTGGTAGGCATCACAAAAAGGGTAGAAAAAGGAAGAGAGAGAAGGGGAAAAAAAGCAAGCAAGGGCCGGCCTGTAGTGAGTGGTCAAGAGACTCAAAAAGCCAGCCAAAAAGCCAAAGGGAAATAGAAAAGACAAGACACGGCAGATATCACTCGGTTCCAATGCAGGTTCATGGAAGAAAAAAACAACCCCCAAGCAATGAAGGAGAAAAGAAAGATAAAAAGAATTCTATGATCAATGTTATGTTACACACCTGCTGCTGTTGAGGACGAGGACGAAGAATGCACGACCTGCTGTCCATCGCTGTCTGTAAGACCGCTACCACCGCCGCCGACGCTCTTCGACTTGATATCCCGATTGCTCTTATTATTATCATTAACCTCCCCTCTGCGAAGAGCCTGTAAACATCCCACCACCAACGGCACCGCTCCACACAATGCGACAACCATTCCTACCTCTATCACTCCCCTTGTCGTTCCTATACGCTCAACAAGCAGCCCGTATACTGTGGTGGTAGCACTAGTAGGGAGCGTCGTCGACAACGACGTCAATGTCCGTGTCAGTGAACTTCTTGTAGCAGAAACAGCAGCAGCAAACAACGGTGAGCACCTCTCCTCTTCTTCTCCCCAGAAGGAGAAGCAAGAGAGGAAGGAAGCCCAGGCCATTTATTTATTCCGCCGTGCTGTGCTGTCCTGACCTGTCCTGTGCGTTGCTGTTGTCTGGAAGGGTAAGGGCAGAACAGAGTAAGTAAGGTAAGTAGAATGAGTGGTAGCCTGGTAGGCCCTTCTAGTGCTCTAGATGTGCGCACGCAGAGCAATACAGGGATTGGATTGGGCGGCGCCTTGGGGGGGGGGGGGGGGGGGTGCGATAAAACGGACGGACAATCTGTCTGGTCTGGGTATTACAACGTAGGCACTGTAGGACTCTCTCTCTAATCTGTATGCTGTTTCTGTTGGCTGTGGGGGAGAGCGCGGATGGGGAAAAATTGGGCTGCTATTGCTGCGCTGCGCTGCGTATGTACGTGGATCGTGATGGGACTGGGAGAGAGCGAATGATGGGCGAGTCGGTGGATGAGCTGTGAGACGGACCGAATGTGTATGGATGGAGGGGACTCTGTCTAAGAAAGTATCCTCGCTACTCTAGGTACATACTCTATGTGGAGAATATAGGCAAGTAATCATGTAGAGTACCGGTACTGGGTGCTGCCTGCTTGATTGATTGCTGGCTGGCTCAATAATGAAAGAGAACGATCCACTGCTGAATCATGCAATCTGAATCGAGACACCAATTGGACCAAACCCAGCCGCAACGGAGGGGAAAAAAAAAAAAAAACGTGTTTGAGAAAAAACTTTCTATGTAAGTACCGGTACATACACGTACTCTACAGCATCCTCTTCCCTGAGTGCTCTTCAGGCAAGTTGCAAGGCAACACGGCGAGCGAGTTATGTAATGGGACCCCCGGCATTGAGATGAATAATAATAATAATAAAAAGGCATCAGCAGCAGCAGGCAAACCCTCGTCGATCACGCCTTTTTTCTTTCTTTTCTTGTTTGTTCAACCTCTTGGGTGTTTCTCCCGCTATCACGTTTCCAGGTGGTTGGCCAGGCATAGAGCTCTCTGATCATGCTCGTTCACTCCCCGCAGGCTAAGCAAGGCGGTAGAGTAGAGTTAGAGGCATGTATGAAATGCTGGAACCGAGATTTGACGCAACCGTCTCGCAGTGCAGCAGCAGACGGTCGGACCAACGAGAAAACCCTTCGGTACCGTACCATACACACGTAGGGAGTAGGGACAGTGGTGGGAGCGGAGGGACGGGTGCGTGTGTTAAGAAAAAAAGTATTAGTGTTGAGGACCTCTTTGGCGCCAAGAAAAAAAGACATCGTGATGTACCGACGGGCGATCCGATCTTTTTTGGCCATTACCATTCCCTTTTTTGTTTCTTTTTCTGTTTCCGGGGAGGGTGTAGGAAAGCTTACTTTGTAAAATTATCTCCTGGCTCAATTGAGGTGTTGCGGAAAATATGAGATATAACAAAAATTCCCAACCCAGTACGGCCTACAAGGAGGATCCATACATAACATTTATTTACTCCAACTCCCCAGCTGCCAGGGGGAGGCCAAGAAATCGAATGCCTACTATTCTAAAGGTGGTCCGCCGAGGTATCATTACATAGGAGGCTCCATGTAGGTGTCTTCTAGAGCTACCTACATTGTTATGCTTCCACCCGTCGACACCAATCATTGGCGAACAGCTGCTGCTGAGAGGGGGACGCGGGTAAACGGTTGCATTACCGAGAAACATGCGGGCGGCCCTGAGCGAAAACTACTGCTGCTGATGTGCTGATGCACCACACAACAACCTTCCTCGCTGCTCCGGGCAGCAGCAGCAGCACGGCAGCACACACCACCTCACAACCGCGCAGCGGAAGAAGAGGAAGAAGAATTAGCATATACTCTAGAAAAAGAGGGAGAAGAGGCAGTACTTACACAGAAAGAAGAATTGCACCACCCACGCGTAGTTACCCCCCACCACCCACTCACACACAGACCACAGATGAGAGCCATACGGAACATCGGACGGGAACGGGGGGTAGGAGTGGTGGGGGAAAAGGATGGTAAAGGGGATGATGTCTTTTCATCGTTCGGCACATTGCTCAATGCTCGCATTCTTAGCGGAGGGGCAGCAGCTTCTCTTTATTTTTTTCTTGTCATTCCTTTTTCGTTGCAGCGTGAGGTGGGGTAAATTTGGAACTTGTACATCAGATGTGGGGTAGATAGCGTGGATATAGTAGTAGGAGCAGTAGTATGACGCTGTGAGGTCCACCTGCTGCTACCACTTCTCGTGCTGCCGGTGATCTCGCGAGCATATCCGCCCGCCGTACTGTTGAGAATCTACTTGTGAGGATATCAGAACTTACCTACATTACTTAACAGCGTACCCTCTTCCATTTCACCCGCTTTACCCTGTCTGTACCTTTTTGCGTAGAAAGAAGGAAAAGAAAAGAAAAACTTCTTTTTTATTTTTCTCTCTCCGTTGCTTCTGCTTCTGCTTCTGCTTCTGATTCTACTGCTTCTACTGCTACTGCTGTCGTGCTAGCTGTTGCTGCTGCTGCTTGCTGTACTGCTGACTATAGTTACTGAAACCCTAACCTTGCTCACTGTACGTCTGCTTCTTTCCCCCTCTCTTCACCACACCCCTCCTCCACCCCCTCAATTTCTTCCGGTTACTTATTCTACTACATTTACTGTGGTTTTGGCTACCGGTACATAAACTTATTTGATCAATCTCCGGAAACTTTTCAAGACAGTTCAAAACACAAAAAGGCAAACCAAGAAAAAAAACATGTCTGAACAAATGGATCAGTCACAACCTGAAAATCATTCCCGTTTTCTGGAGTTTCGTTCTGTCCCATATGGTACCAAAAGGGATGGAGAACTCGTGCTAAACAGATATTCGTCCCTCGTGACCAACGGCTACGAATTCCCCGGTGCCCAGGCAATGCTATATGCTGCAGGAATCAAGAACCAGGAGGACATGAGGACGAAACCGCAAGTTGGTATGAAACCTATTCCTGCACTGCAGGAAAAAAAATGTTACAAAGATCAACCTGTTGTGTGTTGACATGTATGCTGTATGTAGGCGTCGCTTCAGTATGGTGGGAAGGCAACCCGTGCAAGTATGTTTTCCCTCCCCTCCCGTCGCTGGAAAACGACGTATTGATATAATTCGGAATAAATTCTAACTGAAACGGCAGCATGCACTGTTTGTTACCCTTTCCCGTGTATATACATACGTCAATTGGCCCGCTTTAATGAGTTCTGATTGGCGCCCATCAAAAAACCAACAGTGCTCGACCTCGGCAAGACCGTAAAAGAAGGTCTCGAGAAGAACGGAATGATTGGCTGGCAATTCAATACCATTGGAGTGTGTATATGCCACACGGCTTCTCCTCCCTTCTGGTGTCTCCTATTCTTGTCGGGAACATCACAACTCACCATGAGGTTTGCTCCACGCGCAGGTATCGGACGCCATAACCATGAGCAACCAAGGTACCTTAACAGCGGATGCCCTAGAGACGAATCCAATGCGTGACATGTGCGGCTGACAGTGAGCACGCTATTGCTTTTAGGCATGAGGTTCTCCTTGCAAAGCAGAGACATCATCGCCGACTCTATCGAGACGACAACTTGTGCTCAACATCATGTATTTTAATCTTTCCATCTCAATCTATCACTCGGCCATGTTAATACTTTGTTCCTACTTAGGATGCAAACATTTCGATTCCTGGTTGTGACAAGAATATGCCTGGATGTATGTTACATACCTTCTTTACCAACTTCTTATTACCTTGCTGTTGTCTCATGAGCTAATCGGTCACAAGGCATTATGGCCATGGCGCGCCACAACCGACCATCACTCATGATCTATGGCGGCTCTATAAAGGGCGGCTATTCCGAGCGCCTTCGCCAGCCCATCAACATTTCCTCTTGCTTCGAGGCACACGGTGCCATGATGTATGGTAAGTTGACCACTGACGACCTTGACGATGTGATCAAGAACTCCTGTCCCGGCCCCGGTGGCTGTGGAGGAATGTACACAGCAAACACCATGGCCACTGCACTTGAGGCCATGGGTCTGACACTCCCTGGATCTTCCTCGACCCCGGCCGACTCCCCTGCAAAGTACAGAGAATGTTTGAGGGCCGCTGAGGCTATCAAAGTTCTTCTAGAGAAGGATATCAAACCCCGCGATCTCATTACTCGGGAGTCGTTTGAGAACGCTATGGTTATCACCATGATCATGGGTGGTTCCACCAACGCTGTTCTCCACTTTCTCGCAATTTCCCACACCGCTGATCTCGACTTAACCATCGACGACTTTCAAAGAGTCGCCGATAAGATTCCGGTTCTGGCAGATTTGAAACCCTCCGGAAAATACATGATGGCCGATCTAGCCGATATCGGCGGCATGCCCGCTGTCTTCAAGTTCCTAATTCACGCTGGCCTCATCAATGGGGATATCCTAACAGTCACAGGAAAAACTTTGAAGGAAAACGTCGAGTCCGCACCAAGTTTGGACCCGGGGCAAGATATCATTAGACCGCTCAGCAATCCAATCAAGGCCACCGGTCATATCCGAATTCTCAAAGGAAACTTGGCCCCAGGTGGGGCGGTGGCTAAAATTACTGGCAAGGAGGGCAAATCATTCATTGGAAAGGCTAGAGTGTATAACGGCGAGGAGGCTTTGATTGCGAGTCTCGAAAAGGGAGAAATCCATCCTGAAGAGAATACGGTTCTGTGTGTGAGGTATGAAGGACCCAAGGGTGGTCCAGGCATGGTAAGTTCTAGAACCTTCTCTTTTTCTCGCTTCTGTTGGTGGAACTTTGGAAGCTTCCGGAAGGAGCGCCCCTGTCAAACCAAAGTCGGGTTTTTTTTTCGTTTTACTCGACAGCTGTTGGTCCTGAACTTTTCTGTGGTGGCCCGGAACGACAAGACACAAGGCCATTTGTCTGAGCTTGTCGCACTAAGCCAATCAAAAAATTGGACGCATCTGCTAGAATTTCGGTACCTCTGTTTGGTCCAAACAGTGCTGGGTGCGTCAGATGTATTTACCAAACCGGCGGGACCTGAATTTTTTTTGAGCTCACCACCACCAAATTGCTTTTCCTAAGCGCTGGCCGATATTCAACAAACTCCACCAAGTTTCGTGGCAGATATCAATGACAGTTGTTTCGGCCGTTTGCATCACTCTATCTCGGAGTTGTCAAATGCAAGGAAAAGTCGCAGCTGGAAAAAAAAAAATTTCTTTGCGTTAGCTATGGTGTTGGCAAAGCTTTGAGGGGGGAAAGGGGGAGGGGGCTCTGCTGTTTGGAAATCTTCAATGAACTTTTCTCTCAAAGACAAGTCATACTGAGCACACGAAACGTGCGGTATTGCCATCACCGCAGGCAGGGGCGTTCTATGCTGGAAAGCTGTCACTTCTTTCCAACATCCCGATGTTCGATATTGGGGACGCTCGTCGATGTGTTCAAAAGTTGATAGCGATTTTTGGAAGCATTGTGAGGTTACAAGTTTGAAGATAGATCGCTGACAATGGGGTATATCGCTAGCCTGAACAACTCAAAACAAGTGCTGTCCTTATGGGGGCAAACCTACGCAACGTGGCGTTGATCACTGATGGACGATACTCGGGGGGTATGTTCACCCGTTCAATTCAAGATAATGGCGGCGTTGCTGATCGTATGTTCTGCAAGCCTCTCACGGATTTATTGTCGGTACGTAACCTTCCATGCAGGATCGTCAGAGTTTCGTTGTCCGAGACGCAGAATCTAACTTTGAAATAGGCCACATAGTGCCGGAAGCGCAAGCAGGTGGCCCAATAGCTATCCTTCAAGGTGTGTGAACCCCCTCCGGTGTGTGTTTTCCATGTACCTCAGAGTTCATGCAAGAACACATATCAACCCCTTCCTGCCTCTCAGTGGGTACCGTTTCGGATTGAACCCTCTCTGACGTGCGAATATGGGGTACGGTACGGAACGGACAGACGGTGATGTTGTCACTATTGACTCCGAAACAAACCAGCTCAGCATGAACGTGAGCGACAAAGAAATATCTGCAAGGCTTAAGAAATGGAAGGCTCCCCGTATGAAGGTCAATCGAGGAACACTGGCGAAGTATGCATACCTCGTGGGCGATGCGAGTCATGGGGTATGTTCTATCCCGCCCTCTCTCTATTTTATTTATTTATATTTTATTTTACCTCCTTTCGGCCATACATCATCAGCAATATCCGTACACTTTCCCTGTTTTTGGGCCATCCATTCTTTCTTTCCCTGCTGGAACGAGGGGTAGACGTTTCAAAGTCCACTCTTTATCGGGGAGGGGACAAATCATTCCTATTCAAAGCACTTGCCCTCCCATTTGATATGGATTTCCCAGATCTGCAGCGCTCTCCTTCGTACTGGGGCTGACGAAGATATACCGCCGTGCGGTGCTTTACGATTAGGCCGTTCTGGATATGTTCTAGACGAGCAGGCTGTGTGTGGTGTATGCACTGCAACGCCTCATAAATTTGTATGGATGTTCAAAGTTTCCGTTTCGACCTTGCACCACCAATGCTTGTTCTGCAAATGATACTTTGCATGATCGATCGTCTATTGTCGTTTGCTTCGTTTTTATTTCCTTTTTTTTATTTCCTTTCCATTTAGGCCCATACCTTTTCGATAGAACAGACCCGAGCAGCTGTCGATTGACGTGTACAAGAAGTAGTTCAAGCAGGTTTGGATGGTGTATTGTTGGAAATACATTTCTCTATTTTTTCTCTTCGCTTGATAGTCGGGGCAATAAAAGGTAAGGCGTAAACGGACGGAACACTGAATCTGTCTATCTAGAAGAAGGACTGTGCGCACGTCAATGAAGGGCTAGATCAGGTAAGCGGACGATTAATGGTTTGGACTAGTCCACGTGAACAATGTGGCGCACTGGGGTGAGGTCAAGACCAGACCCTTTTTTGACGAGCAACCTGGCTATTCCCAAAGAAACGCGGACAAGCGTGATCAGCAACACACTAAAGGGTTCACTTGCTGCCTTCTGCGGGTAATTTTACTAGGGAAAGTAGGGAAAGCAGCCTGGGGGAAAGGGAGGGGGGGTTATGGTGGGTGGGAGAATAGCAGCACATCAGAAGCAGAAGTAGCAGCACTAGAAACAGTTACTTTACTGCTCTACTACTGTATGTGGTGGGTACATGGGGAAGAGGAACATGGAACATAAAGTACAGCCAGCAGGAGCAGCAATGGGCACTAACCAAGCAGCAAGCAGCACCAAACCACCACAACCAGTTAACTGCATGGTAGCATTACAACGACAACCACACCCACCCCCCCATACTCCCCCCCAATACCCAGTTGCATTACAATCAGATGAACATGTAAGTGGAGTAATAAGTGGAGTGCATGTACACATCAAACGGTGAACTACACTGCTGTAGCTCTAGCTCTGGCCATCGTGGAATCTGATGTTCTTCTCTGTTACTGCAGTATACTAGTACTGCTCCTGCTCTTATCATTGATGGCTGCTAGTGATGCCTTTCCTTCCTTTCTTGACTGACTGACTGATGAATGCCCGCTGCTTGCTGCTGCTTCTCCTGCTACTGCTGGTGCTGGCTGGTTGCTGCACCCGATCGAGGCTAGCGTGAATAGACTTCACACAGTTGTCACTCGCAATGCAGCATCTCAACCTACCTCCGCCGCCGCTTATAAAAAAGTACGACGGCTGTACCCTGCTGCATAAAATCAATTCAACGGACGAACGATTCCTGAACTAATAATGCACGATGAGAGAAAAGAACGTCCATGCCCTTCCGAAGACGAGGTTTGGATTTCTATGAACCGTGAGACGGGAACTAGTCAGGTATTCCTTTGGGATGCGCCCAGAGACCCTGCCTACAGCAGTTTCGCCCATCTGTAAAGCACTAGGGCCAGCCAGTTTCTTAATATCTCCCATTCGCGCAAACATAGCCGTAGTAGGCCTGTAGAAGGAGAAGGGATGAATAGATTTTTTTAGGTGCATGCAGATAAATGTGATGTCGACAGAGGAAGGTACAAACATGAAAAAAATGATGATGATCCGAGAAATGCCAAAAGATCCAAAGGAAAAAAGCAGGCAAACAGAACTCCCCTCTCGCACCCCCAATGAATGATTACAGGAAATTTCGGCGTCTTGTACATAGAAATCTCCACGCTATTGAATTCCAAACCTGTCAGAAGTTATTGAATTAAAAAAGAAAATTTCGTCAAAGTCGTTATACCGTTCCGTGCTCGCCTACTCAAGGAAAGAGTGAATGAAGAAGTGGAAAGAAAGAGAAAAAGACAAACATAAAGTAAGAATGAAAATGTGTGGGAAAAAAAAGAAAAATCCCACAAAAGAAAGAACTATATCGTGCATTATCTCCTCCACCCAACGTTAATCATTTCCCGTGATGCTACTCTCCGCGCGTTCCCTAGAAAAACGCAAATAGAAGTTTTTCTTTAAAAAATAAGTATGGAAAAAAAAGACAGTTAAAATAACTATTCGCCCAATAATCGCCCTAGAGTTAATATGCTCCCCCTTTGTTCGCCCCCTCCCTCTCCCCCTCCCCCCACCTCCCCGCCCAAAAAATGAAGCCCAATAAAAACCTATATTCCAGAAAGCAAACAAGAACCAAACTCCCGTTTCTTTTTCGTTTCGTCGTAAACTAGTATTTCGCACACATTACCCGATCGATCGAACGGCTTTGCACCAGGCGGCTGCGTAAAAGATCTCGTATCAATAGTCTACCACCTATTCTTCCATTACGGTGTCTCCAGTTGTCTGTGCCACAGACTCTAATGTTGGTGTTGATGTAGTCGTTGGCGCTGCCGGGATATCCTGAGGCGCCTTATCCTTGCACTCCACAGGCCTATCCTCCATAGTCTCCTCTTTGACTGAAACCTCGGGACCAGTAAAAGGTGCAGGGCTCATTGCTGCAGCTGATGAAGGGGTTGAAACCTCGCTGACCGTTGCCATGGTACTGCTAGCCGTATTATGTCCATCTTCAGAGATAGGTGCTGCGGGAGGCGGAGATACGGCTTTGGACGAGGGTGAGATTGCAGGAGTTGGGGGGGTCGAAGTGAAGCCCTTTTGCCAGCATTTTGCAAGAAACTCAGGGTCCACTGAGCCACCGTACTGGCTAGCCACAGATTCCCAGAAACAGGCACGCTGAGCTTCGACGATGCGGATGAGCTTTTCCTTGTCGATATTGTCCGGATTGCAATTGACGCGGAGCTTGTTGGCCTTCCCGATTGTGTGCTTTCGGTGAGTTGACCCCTCGACCGGCTTGGGGAGGAGCGGTTTGCCCTTGATCTTTGGCATCATGTTGCTTCCCACCTTCTGGATGGCACCGGCCGCATTGACGGGAGAAAAGCTGCTCTGGGGACTCGACGATCTCTTCGAGGTCAATTGCGTTTCCGAATTAGATGGGCTGGCCACTGGAGATGTCGCAGATGCGTTTGATGAGGTTGAGGAGATTGAGCTGTTCCTCTTGCGGCGATTGCCTCCATGAGACAGCTGATGGTAGTGAAGCCTGCATGCAAGCTCTGTCTTATCCAGATGGCTGGCAATCTTCTTGTATGCAACTCTCTCAAGGCGCATTTGCAAGAGATAGACCTCCTATGAAAATGTTTGTTAGTATGGCTTGCACATAGTTGATGGCGCGCAAACCATGGGTAGTTTGGGGAATTGAAAAACTACCTCTTCTTCTGTCCACGCTTTCCCACCGCCGGCAGCAGATCCTTTGCGCCCCTTTATCATATATGTTAGTGACATCGAAGCTACAGGATTGGGTCCCTGCCCAGTGAATTGGAAATCTCACTTTTGAAACAGAAGTCACTGGAGAGCTCATGGTTGATGGAGTTGATATGATATAGGTTTTTTTTAGAGAAGGTAATTGTATGCCGCGGTTGCACAAGAGAAGTAGTAGTAGTTGCAGTTGCAGTCGTTGGGGGGGGGGGGGGAATAGAAAGTGCCGTCTGATAGAAGATGACCCAAAAAACAATAATAATAATAAAGTTGTATGAACAGAACCCACGAAAAAAGTAGAAGGTTTGCTTTTGCTAGGGATGAACTGGGGGGCTGCAAGTAAACTCTGCAAGGAGAGAGATGCTTTTATTGAGAAGGGGAAATATGAAGGTAGTAAGGGTAGGTAGTGGTGGAGCGCCAGATATTAAACGGCGGGAGGAAGACAAGGTAGAGAGATGTAGCAGTAGAAGTAGAAGAAGAAAGGGAATCTCTCGCAATGAAATAGGGAATCTATAATGTACCCTGTAGCCTGCCATGGGCTATTTCTTTGCGTTGTCCGTGCTTGCGAACTAAGGCAGTACCAAGCATCAGTACTTTTTTTTTGGCTGCGCTGCGAGCCTGCCTGTAACGCGGATGCCGTTGGTTGGAGGGGGGGGGGGGTGGGGGGATCTAGGCTCTCTAATTCCTGGGGGAAAGGGGGGGGTAGGAGGATGTGGAGGTGGAGGGGGCTTGCTTCTTCGCCGCTCCTGCTGCTGTTCGATTCACCTGTATGGGTACATGAGGAACAGACAGAACTGAACTAGGAAAAAGAACGGATTCAGAACAAACTGGTCTTAGGTCTTCTTAGTATCCCAATATTATCGTATCGTAAAAAAAAGTCTACATATCAATTCATACATAGACCTATATTTGTTACCCACCTAGGTACGCGCAGTTCTCCTTACAGAGTACAAGTACATGTAGTTAGATAAGTACCAAAACTGCATTTATCTTGTAGGAAAGCCTTCTAAAGTCCGTATGAACCTGTCTGTTTTGTTCAAGTTGGGTTTCCAATCGAACAAGAGGAGGTACGTGCATGTGTCTGATGTTTTCCCGTCCCTGGGGGGGGGGGGGGGTTAGGTCTTGGAGTGTACGATCCGCTTTGGTTTGGCGAACTGTTTGATACACATAGACAAGCGAGGGAGCCACAGGTCTCTCTTCCCCTGATATGGCTAATATAGCCTGTATCTTTGGTGCTGGACGTTGTCCGCGTTCTTTCTAAGTCTTCATGTACGTTTAACATGTCCCATTGTGATCACTTGTCGCATATGAGAAATGTGAAAGTGGTTTGAGACGACTAGAAACGCAGGTATCATCTCGGATTCCTCATGGTGTTATATAAACGAGATGCCCGGTAGATGGGTTTGGGGAACCGGTAAATGAAAGATGTCATGGATGCAAACTATGGATCGGTATATATATGATGGAATATGGGGGAAGGAGAATAAGTGAAGAAGGGGAAAGGGTCGAAGGGGAAGGGATGGTGAGCGATCTGACATTAGCGGTGCACTGATGGTTAAGATGTAGTGCGCAGTGTACCCATCTCCTACTGCTCAAGTAGTGTGTATGTAGTGTGGTAGTGGCGGGGAAGGGAGGGCGGCCATCATCATCTTCTTCATCGCGGTCGTCTCAATCCTCATCATCATCAACATCACCATCTACAGCGACACCATCTTGTGTCTCTAGATAATTGCCCGAGGGGATCGATAATACAAAAATAATTGTGATTGCGATACATATCCACACCTGTATAGATAGATCGAGGAAGGTCGAGGAAGAAGAGCAGAACAAACATCCCTACCCTACATTACCTTACATGCGGCAAACACCACACATTCACATTTCATCACTACTACATCTGCCTACTACTCTACCAGGCTGGACAACCACCCCATTTTATTTATTTTTACTAGAGTACCACCACCGCAACAAGGCGGTCTGAGCCTTTCCCAGGGAACAATCGGAAGCGAAAAGTGAGATTTGCAGGCCCATGGGACATTGAATTCCGGAATAGAGAAGGTTGTTCCTTTTCGTTTTAATATTTGTTTTTTTTCACAATGTTTTTTTTGTTCCGTCACAGTACTGTCCTCGCATAAACGCAGACCACTTACTGCAAAGATAGGCAACCTAGGCACCTTCGAGAATAATACATAACCCATCCCAGAAGCAAGTGAGGTGGGACTTCCAAGTCAGGAACTGGCACTGGGCGGAAGAGGATCTATGTATGAGCCTACCATACATTCATCTCGTTTACCTATACGCGAATGTCGGCAGATGAGTCTTGAGGCCCACCGCCGAAATACTGTTTTGCACCAGGCCGAAGATAGAACGACAAGTATGATTCGCTGGCCAGCGTCAACCACAATTGGATGCTGCCTCTGCGGGTGCTTCTACTCTACTGCTGGTGATGGTTAGTTAAGGTAGGTGTAGGAGGACTTCGATCGAGTCGGGAGCAGAGTATGTACAGTAAGGTAATTGTGTATCGTATGTATGGATACTCGTACATAATACCCACATACAGCCTACATACAGATGGGATACCGAAGAAGACAGTACTCTAGTTAACAAGACAAGAGATCGTAGCCGGTGGGGTTATGCGACTCGATTTGTTTCAGCACGAGTGCAGACAACCATACACATAGACGGATGCCAGTTGTTTGTTTCTTCCGTCTGTAACTATCCCTATGGAGAATAGCTCCCGCGGTCCAACACCTCAATTTTGCCCAACTCCACCTCAACTTCCACCCTTCTCTAGCAGGCCCAACCGGCGAGTTGCAAGGAGGAAGTTCCAACCCCCGATTTCCTGGGGATGGATGGGAACCGGCAAACATTCTACATGGAGTACCTACCTACCAATCTACCTATGTACGTACAGCCAGCAGCCTACATACTGTACGGGAAACGAGCGAGAAACAAATCTCTCCCACCGCCCACACACCCTGGCCCCGCGTCTCCCATCCCTTCTTCTCCTCAGCCTGCCCCAGGTTTCAGAATATCCTACTGGTGGTGGTACTACATAAGGTGATGGTGCTGGTGGGAGGTAGTACTACAGCCGTGCTGGTAGTAATGGTAGTGATAGCGATGGTGGTGGTGGTGGTGTGTGTGCCCGTGTGTGGTATGGTACATGATACCTGTAGTAGTACCGTAGTACCAGCCAGTACTTGGTATGTAGTGCACGCCCATCACTTGTTTTATGTTTTATTACTGTTTTACTATTTTGTTTTGTTTATGGTTACTATTACTATCGCTATGATTATTAACTATCACTCTTGTTTCTCGTTTCCGGCAGACAGGTAGAGGAGGTACCCTGTAGTACCAGGGGGGGGGGGGCACACATTTACCAGCCCATGTATATGTAGCCCAATTCTCGTTCCCCATACTTACATGTTTCTCTACAGTAATGGATGGTCCCTGTATGTACTCTAGAGGTACAGCTACATACGTAGATTTGTAGAGTAGGTACATGTACCCCAAGTAGACCAAAGTACCCAAGCAAGTACATGTAAGTACATGTAGAGTATCTGCCATATGCATGTACCTATAGATGGCCCCCCCACCACTACCGCGCTCCCTGTACGTTCAACGGCTGTGTTTTCCCCATACTATCATCTCTATCTCGCCCCTACGACATGGGTGTTTGGTACATACGTTTGGTTTGGTTTGAGAGAGAGCGATAGATGGACACAGATAGGTAGCCGATCGGATCGGGAACCTCCTGCCACAAGTGAAGAGAGGAAGAGAAAGAAAAGAAACACGCCGACACACTCCCGATGCTCCACCCTATTTCTACAATACATCTCGTACAGCGCGTTGCCCCCCCGCAACAGGCAACGGTATCGGGTGTTCTCACCCTTCGGAGTCAAGTGGCAGGGTCAACAACAGCAACAACCTCACTTCCTCGATCTCGCGGGATGGGCGAGGGAGGGGGCTGGTTGGCAGGAAACCCGAGAAACAGGTAGCATAGGCAAAAAAACAAGTAAAGTGTACATACATAGATACCAGCTAGGTACATACTCGTACTTTTTTGTAGCTGCACAGTGGGAAAGTAGGGTGATGGGCGAGTGATAAATGCACTCTATCCCACCCAATTCTCGATTGTGTCCGACCCGCCAAGGAATTTCCGGGAACGGGATTTGTTTGGAGGTAGGTGGTGGTGTAGCTACATACAAGCTTGTGGTTGTGGTTGTGGTGGTGCACTCTACTTACCACCCAACCTAGATGGATGTACGATGTACGTACCACTCCCTCCCTCCCTTCCACAAGGAAAGCCGAGCTGCAGAAAAAGAAGAGAAAGAAAGTTAAAAGAAAACATAATAGCGAGCAGAATAAGAAAAGAAAGCTTAACAATGATGTCTCCAGGCCAATAGATACAAGCGGATAAGGACGGATGTGTGGCGAGTGTGAGTATTATCTTCCCAGATTTCACTCCCGCCCTCGCCTCAGCTTGGGGAATAATTGATGAGGGAAACACTTTTACATGCATATTTCTTTGCGAAACACTCGAAATTGTTTGTTGGGTGGATAACCTCGAGGGTTATGCCAACCTTTTTTTTTCTCTGAGTGTGTATTGGACGAATGTGGATGTTTATGAACGACCCTACCGGTCCTATCATTAATCTCACTTCACTCACTCCATTACTCCTACCTTACTCCTCTCTTTCCCTAGGTCCTATTCCTCATGCTATGATGTATGTATGTAGCTCTTACCTAGCTCGCCCGTTTGTTTCCCTGGTCCTATTATTTTTAATTCCCTCCCCCATATCGGTGGTGCATTTGTTTATCTCGAGCTCTATCTCTACTAGCCCGACGACAAATTACCCATATGACCATGATGACCATGATGACCATGTACCAGTTATGTACAAAGTTTTTTTCTTGACAAAGATTATATCTCTCCTATATAAACGACGCAAGATGTTTGGCGCACATATTATGAAATGATACCTTTTTATCGTCGCGTGACAGTAATAGCACTTAAGCAGCAGCAACGCAGCTAGAAGCATCATGATCAGATCAGAGCAGCCGCGGCAGCACAAAATCGCCGAGTGTGTGCGGAGATCAAGAAAAAAAAAAAAAAAAAAAAAAAAAAAGGCGAGAGGTAAGTATGATGGAAGAAGTAGGTAAGTACATGTAAATATACCTGGATATGTGTGGCCGGTATGTAGATAATGAGTGAAAGTATTACCTGTATGTAGCTGAGGACGGGTTAATAATGTACGATATGTACTTTCAGGCAAGCAGGCAAGCAGGCAATCTCTCTCTCTCCACGAAAGACCCCGTAAGTACATCAAAGTACATCAAGTCCTTTTCGCATGTTTTCTCATGGGCAGCTCCACAAACAATACCTACATACATATCTTCTACCCCGCACTGGCCTTTCCACCCCCCCAACGCCCACCCCCCATGGAATGTCGCACATGGCCCGGCCCTATGTACGTTTTTTCTATCTTCTTCCTTCCCTCCACTCCCCCATTTATTCATAGGAGAAGAAAGGAATAGGGAAGGAGAAGGAAAAAAAAAAGCTAGCTAATGATGTACCCCCCCCTTCCCCCCCTCGATTTTCTTGTTCCCCTCTATATAGAGAGTACAATGGGTCGCAGGCATCTTCCCACAAAAGAGCGGGTATTCTACCTACCTACAGCTGCAGCCGTGGCGGCGATCACCTAGTTGCAAGTAGTAGTAGTAGTAGTAGCTCGAACCTTTTCGACCTTGCTTTCTCGCCCGTCACTTATCGTATCAAGATTCAGTTGCTTTTTTATATCGGATCATATCAACCCTACCCCCCCAAAGCAGTAACTATCAGACAGAGGAAACCAAAACTAAACTATGTCGTGAGTTCACATCTTATCAGCCGCCTGTTGTTTTTGTTTGTTTGTCCTGCCCTGCCTGTCCTAGGCCTGACCCTTCTTCCCTGCCCTCGATATCTCATACAGCACATTATCAGGGCCTGCACGCCGAGTACTTCTTCCTCTGCCAAAAAAATAAAGGATAGCATTTCCCGGAAGAAAGAAAAAAAAAGCCAAAGGTATCCAAGTAAAGGTCAGGTCAAGCAACTGACACAGTACCCGTGCGCCTACCTAGCAGTATGCCGTCGAAACGGCCCATCAAGCCCGCCGTTAACGTTGAGCACCTCAACCCCTCCTCAGCCACAGGAGGAGGAGTACTTGGATCATTACCAGACATCGAGGAGCAGCATGCCAAAACCGAAGATGATGATTCCGCCTCGGCCGCGCTGAGTCCAATCACCCCGACCACCAACAAAAAGCGGCGGGCATCCAAGCAACCCGCGTCATCGGGCTCCGGCGAGGGAGGGCCCTCGTCAGGTGGCGTGAAACGGACACGGACAAACACGCCGTGGACGGCGACGGAGGAGCAACGACTCAAGAGCATGAGGGATGCTGGTAGCTCGTGGAGTGATATTGCAAAGACGTTTCCGACGAGGACAGAGGGCAGCGTAAAGAAGCACTGGTACAAGGTAGGTAGTAGATATCACCCCATCCCGAATCTCAAAAAGATTTTTATTGACTGTGGATGCGGGGGGTAGGATATGCACTATGCAGAGTTTGCTGAAGATGAGGTGAGCTTCCTTTACCTTATTCTTCCTCAAAAGAGAGTATATATAATGTATATATCTCGACTTTTGACTGAGGTTGCTGACTATTGAGTCGTTCGTGACAAAGAGTGCGGCCTTGCTTGCAGCTATCAAAGAATACGATGCAAACAAATGGAAGGTTATCGGAAGCAAGGTTAATAAGCCGGCAAAGGTACACTCATATTCATGATTTTTTGTGTCCTCCATGAACCTTCTCTTACCCCTTCCTCTTCCGTCTTTCCTTTTCTCCACCACTATTCTGACAAGATCCGAAATTAAAACAGGCTTGCGAGCAATACGCAAAGGAACATTTCTCGGGAAAGTAAGGCCTGATTGCCTGCTGCTGGCGGGAGAACCGATTGGTCTTGGTTTGGCGTAGGCAGGCGCATACTGAATGGAGAGCTTCTTTTTCTTCTTTTTCTTCACTCTTTTCCTTGTTATTCTTATTTATTTTATTTCATTCTCTTTTCTGGCTTGGTTTTGGTATTGGTTATTATGGTCGACGTCCTCCGGTAAACGATTTTTGTTTGTTTATGTTTTTCCCTATGTTTCCTTTGAAAAATTTAAGGTTTTTGTGGTAGTTAGCTTAGTTTGTTAGTTTCGTGGGGAAATAGGCGGGGCAGTGCAGGGTTCGCTAGTTAGCGGCAGCCGGAGGGAAGAAGCTAGTTTTGGATTTGAGAGGGGCGTGGGGTGTGGGGGGAGATACTCGATCTTTGACTGTGGTCTCTTTTTTGTCGTCTTTATTTTTTTATAACCCTAATCCTTTCTTGGTACTTCCTTTTTGTTCCTTCTCTTCTATTCAACGGCGTAGCTGGATGCATTATGATTGACTGAGTTTTTGCCACATAAGAAAATGTTCTGAATAAGATAATGTTCTGAATTATTTTTGAGAACTGAGAGGGACAGGTAGAGCGGACAGACAGAGGTTGAGACGAACCACAAGTTAACCAAAAAATATTATTTGTATTTTCGTATTGATTCATATCGATATCATATCAGCGTCTGCCTGATGAGATATCATTCAGGATTCATAATGACCCCGCTACCTGCCAGGGAGAAAAAAAAAGGGCCCAAAAGAGATAGCGAGAAAAAAGCCCCCCAAAAAATAAGCTCTCTGGACATGGACGTCCCATGCATTAACGTGGAGGGGCCAAACTCGGTTCCAGCCGATCTGGCGCTGCCAAGCTTACTATGCTCCCCCTCCCTAGACTCGGTAAAGTTGGCCAGGATGTTGATGTTCTACTCTAGAGTAAGCACGGGCCGATCCTGACAGACATACTTGGCTAGCTGCCGTTGAACTACATAGCTACATGTCGACATGAGTACCGCAGTAGATGGACGGATGGATAGACGGATTGGCATACATCATACACACCTACCTAGAACATGCTGGAGGGAGGGACATACCTACCACATAGGTACTGTTCCATAACTACATGTACCTGATATATCCCCCCCCCCCACATATTGTATCTACTAGTACATGTAGTTACTCTCTGGCCTACCCACTCAATATACCACTACCTGGTTAGCTGATCACCACCAACCCATAGATGACTCAATTACAGATCCTGTGAGAATTTCAAATCAACACTGTTTTTTCTTCTTTTCTGTCTTATTAAGCTCCCTTCAGCCACAACTCCCGGTTCACGGGGGTGCTGATATGTTCCGTAGCGTATTTCAACTGGCTGCAGGATGAACACGCGCGGGATTACGAACGGCAGATTTATAATTCTGTAGTTATCTGTCACGTTGGCTCGGGGTCGTGTCGTTAATAGGGCAAATTATAAACCGGCGAGGAAGTAATAGTAGATAAAACCAACAGTTTTCTTGCGCATGGCTGACCAGTCCGATATGATCCTAGTTGAATCGTTCACCTGGCTACCTAGCCAGAAAATAAAATAAAAAAAGAGCTCAAACGTTAATGTTGTTATACGGGTAAATACCGTACCGTGAATCCTTTTCCTGTCGGTACATTAACACCACGTCTTTTGTGCAAGAAAAGCAAAAACATTAATAAGAAGTGGGTGAGATTGAAGAAGCAAAAAATAAGAGGGAAAAGTACCCTCGTAAACAACTGCCATGGAGTTTCTGTAAGATACAATGACATTCCGAATGTCATTTCGCGAGTGAATACCATAGCGAGATTCCCTAGAACAATAATAGACCCGGCTCTTACTTTCCTTTTTTCTTTTCGTGAAATGGTCCTCAGACGACGTTTCCTGGGGACGTACATACTACATACATGGCTCAAATCCATGAAGCAAGCGAGGGGACTAAAAAAAAAGGACAAACGTTTGCATCTCCCTCACAATTTCTAGCACCTCCCGCTAGGTATGTAGGTACTCATTTGTAATTGGTTAGAGCCAGAACTAAAACCAAAGGCGGTTACCCATAATTATAACGCCGAGTAGTCAGAAATTGATCATTTTGACCTGGTTTTTGATGTTGATCACACAACCGGTGCATCGAATAATTAGCCACCCCCCTCATCACCCCAGTCCTTATCTGTATCGGAAGTTATGAGGGAAAGAAAGGCACTGCCATTTATTTTTTTATTTTTTTCTCCCTATTTTGACGCCTTGTCCGCTTGCTCGCAACAACGAGAATATAGACTTTCCGATATGTCTTGAAAGTCCGCGATGACGTGGCTACCGTGGCAGGGCGATGGAAGTGATTTTTAAATCTTGCAAATTCATAAGCCCACGATCTGTGATCGGCAGTGCCAGAGGGAGGGAAAACAAACCTAGGAGGTAGTTAGGTGCGTATGACAAGGCAAGATCGTAATTGTCTCCAAAGGGTGGATGATTGGTGGTGCTGTGGTGGTGGCATGCACCTCTGCAAAACATCCCGAGGAGGGGTGGTTATGATTGGACTAGCTTTGATCAAATCTTCTTTCTTTTACGCCTAAAATTGCCCAACCGGAAAGTTTTGAGGGGGGTGAGATTATGATATGACGCGAGGGAATTCGAAACAGAAATCCCAATGTCGTTATGACCGTTTTCCTTCGAATGATTCAAAAATGCATATATCGTGTGTTATATTGGATCCGGATTAATCATGGCGAAGAAGCAAATACGATTGATCGCCCTTTAGTGGATGAGGTGAGGTTAGTAAATCTTTGGGCAACGTTACATCAATTTTAGATTTTGTTTTAATATACGTAGGGAGGGGATAAGAGGTCCACAGATCATGTCTCAGTGGCCTAGCTAGGTCTCGGGAGGGAGCCACACTTACTATATTTGCCCAGTACACATGCAAAAGGTCAAGAGTATCACCAGATTTGTTGGACTTGATGCAGAATTCCACCATCGTCTCCTGCACTATTGACCGTTGGTGGCTGAGATTAGTAGCATTCTGGATATAGTAATTAATATGCAGTCTCTCATCGCAGCTTGGCTGGCGTCGATGTTTTGTAGTCAATATATTGTACAGATACGATTTTCGGTAGAGATTAAGCTGTCCGTGACATAGGGCTTCATGTTTCAGTAAAGAATACATCTCAGGATGCCACGAAATGCCTCGATTAACGGCAAAGACAGAAAAATTTCTTAAGCGAATAAGATGGAGAGATTAAGTCCGAATGTTGATGACGTTGCTGGAATTCAACGCCGGCAGCAATGGCACCCCCAAGCATCGTGTCCTGGATTCTGGACTAGCCTCTTGAACTTACTTTTTTTTCGCTACGTAGACCATGTTTCCCATGCAATTTTGCAGATTCGATGTCGACTAAACTCGATGTCATTCTAGACCTTCTTTTCAACAATAATTAAGATAGGTCATGATCACAAATTTCCAAACCAAAGACGAACCTGGTATAACGGTTATCCGCATCTCACTGCCCATAAAAGGTGTGTTTTTCCGTCTCTTCTCCTACGCAACACACCATCAGTGATACAGTAGTGGCCTTAAGCATGATAAAAAGCAGTCATAGATATGATCTGCCTTGTTTTCGTAAGACTGCACTCAACACTTAATTCTGCCAACCATCCCCTTTTTTGAACAGTGGATCTGGGGTGGAAGGTCCCGCAAGGTTGTTTTGTTTAAAGGCTGATTGATTTGATATTGGATGATCCTGGTTTGGTACAACCCACCTAGCTTACCGAAAAGGTAGAAAAAGATATATCGCGGTAGGTCCTGGATGACCAACAGCAGGTACTATCTCCGCACAAGTCCCATGAGGAAAAAAAAGGAGTTTCTGATACCCCAACAAGCTTCTCGCTGATCGAGGAGGTATGCATAGATTTGTCATTTGTGTGGCTCTAGATGATCCGATGGAGCAAAGATGAAACTCTTACTTTCAAGCGAGGTGAGAGATAGGTAGATGTAGGGAAGGTGGTATGTTTTCATTCAAGGCTCCGGGGAGTGCAGATGAGTATTTTTCCACCCCCGTGCGATTGATGCATGATGAATTCTCCACCCTTTCCCCTTCTCACCCTGGTCCGCCCAGCTCTGCCTTGCTCTGATATGCATCCAGTGCTAGGATAGGTGATGTGCAAGGGCAAAAGGTTGCAGGGGATGCGAGAAACAGATTTTAAAACGCGAGCCGACGGTCCGCTTGGATGTGTATGTATCAGACCTCCAAAGGTGGAGACGAAGTCGTTCTGACAGCCAGCTAGGATCCACTAGAGTAAAACGGCTTGGACCATGACCCATGGCCCAACGTTCACTCTCTCACAACCAACAATAAAATAGAAAATATTTTTTATCTTGTTAAAAGAAAAGCAAAAGATTCCGCAGACAGAAAACGTGATTGCGCGCGCGTATTTAACCGTTAGTATCAAGTGGGGTTTCTGTCACGCCTGTCTTTCTTTTCCCTTTCGAAGTTTCAGCCCTGCCGAAGATCAGATGAACCATTGCTTGAGTAACGGACTGCCCGTCAAGATTGCGGATCAGCCCCAGAAGGGCCAGTGATCGTCAGCACAACTTTGGAACCGAAAATCGTTCAAGAAACGATATGGCTTGGTTTCATATATGCACAACGTTATTTAACTGGTGTGTTTTCGGCCCTCACTATGTATCAATATCGCAAAGTTCCGTGCGTGCCAAGATAAGGGAAACCGATCCGAGACGGGATCCCAGACGCGAGGAGGTTATAGCTTCGGTTGCGAAACGGCGGAGTGGGGGGGGGGGAGGATATACGGCATTTGGCTGAGGGTTGTGGTTGTAGGTAGTTGATTGTGGTATTCCAGTCATTTCATGCTGTTGGGTGCGTATGAGTGTAGTGTTGGGAGAAGATAATCTCAACGAGGAAACTCGGGAGGTTCGTCCCAAAAAAGATATCAAATAAAAAAAACAATGCCCAGCCGGGGAATTTTGGCGGTTTGTGACCAGAAACCTTGAGGTGAGGCAAGCACATTTACGTGCAAACTGATTGGTGAATGGAGGGAAAGTAGTTAGTAGCTAGCTAGTATTGATGTAGGCCAGCGAAAAAAGAAAAGAAAACCTACTACATTGATCTGACTGATTGACAGGGCTCGGAAAAGGGAAACGCGACAACAACAACATGAACAGCCTGTGAGATGTCTCCTGGGAGGGGGCATTTTTAGACTTAGACTGCTTTATTATTCCAAGTACCCACACGCATACACGAGTACCTACATGTAGAGTACCTACTCGTACATAAATAACATGCACACCACGCATAAACCCTTTCACCTACCCTGCCTAGCTAGACACATTATTTACGAGAGGGTCACTCCTAGAACCCAACCATTCTGCGCGAGCGGAGATGACCTGCCAAAGCAAGCCTCGCTGATCCAGTGATTTGGGAGGCTTTGCCCCGCACAAAAGTAACCACAGAAAGTCAAGACGAGAGCTGCAATATTTGATCAACAGCCACCAACGTTGTCTAAATTACGTTTGATGTGCAACGCCTTTTGACCAGGTTCAACCCAGGGGAATGCCTCAATTGTAGACATGGTTGGGGCTGCCGGGTCGGGGTTCGAACGGTCGCAGGAGGGTCGCGGGCGCAAGGCACGGTTCATGCATTGGTTCTTTCTCCACCTCACTTCCCCCGCCCTAAGTTTCGCTCGTTCGCAAAGAGGTCTGTTAGTTGAACTGACAAAACGACAAAACGCACATACAGGTATGTATGGGTATCTGCCAAGGGAAGCCCCAGCCATCTGGTTGCTTTCGTGATTCTTTTAATTTGATACTACATACTGTCTCCCCCGCTTCCCCTCGTCGGGTCTGCTTCAGCTGGTTACCCAGTCATTTGATCATCCATAACCTCATTTCCGAATGGGAGGATTGCCGGCCCAGACAGCAGGTTGGGCCGGCCCAGCGAGGGTTGCGCAACGTGAGCTGTCAAGTGTCAGGCGCCTTCCGTCTCAAGCCTTTCCCTTTTGCTTGAGCATCGAGAAGAAAAAAATCAAGATCCTTGATAGCCATCCCAGGTACCTGAGAGATATCAGGCATCTCCAAGGTAATATGCGAGTAGCATGCTGGCTACTGGGTGCGTTGCTCTGAAGTCTAAATAAAATTTGGGGCCTGCTGCCAGGCTGACACAACGCACGGAAACGGTTGAGGTCGTGGGGAAGTTGGAGGATGCCTAGGAGTTCGGTAGGTAGAGTGTGTGTGTATGTAGAATAGAGTAGAGTACAGCAGTAGGCTTACTTTTGATCCGTGGAAAAGGAGTCGGGAAATGCTGGTTTGGGATGCAATCGTGCTACACAAGAATATCCAGTAGGACCAGCCAGACAGTGATTATCCCTGCACCTACTGTAGTTCTGGCGGGACACTCGCCGCAACCGAATTCACAACCACCATTAACTAACTCCACCTCCTCCGCAGCAACGGCAGGATCGACCGGTATTTGGTTCTCCTCTTGTCCTTGAATATGTGTACCTTTTTGCTATAGGGTAATTGCTAGAGTATGGGGTGTGCGTTTAGCATGGAAGAGAAGGAGAGTGCGCCATAGAGTCAATCTGATTATGTATCTCTCTTAGAATTCTTCCAGTGCCACAGGACCGTAAAGTGGGATTGCGCACGTAAGTGTGTAGAGGAGTAGTTTTTGTACTGTAGGTACTTGACTCGCATGTATAATTCTGGCGCTATAGTTTTTGGCATACCTACATACTGTACATCCTCCTGTTGCGGGTGTTATGGGTCATATTATACCATCCTGTTCACCTTTGCGTACCTATAACCTATCGTCTCCTCTCCGAGTCTCCGGTGCATCTGTTCTGTCTTTTTTTCTGTTTCTCGTTCCGTGCACTCCGTCTTTTCGTCGACCCTCTTCCCGTTTCCCGTCCTTCATGCCTAGTCCTGCCTTTGGCTTCTGCCCTTGCTCTCTTAGACGCACGTACCCACTCGATCAAGCTTGATCCTCATCCTCATCCTCTCCCTCTCCCTGACCCCCCCCCCCCCCTTCTCCCCGATCACACCCCCCTCCGTCCCTCCTCCTCCTCTTCACCCGGCGGCGGTCTGGTGCCTGACTTGACCCACGTCTCGAGTCCCCCAGTCCATTATTCTCTGGCCCCCTTTCCCCTCTAATGTCCTCGGTGCTGTGCGCATATCATATCGCAGCTCTTGTTGTCTTCCTCAGCTCCAGCGGCCTGGACACTTCTTGCCCAACCAACCAGATTTCTAGATTCCTCTTCCCTCGTTCCATCAAAACTTTCTTCGTCAGCATACTCCCAACTCTTGGTACAGAAAATCTCCTTCTCGTTCATGGCATAGTCGTCGTTGAATCATGCACCAAAGTCTCTTGCACTCGCCGTTACCAGATAGCAGCTTTTCCACAGGAAGAACGAGTTTCGGTTCCGGATCGACTGATCGATTACTTTATCTCAAACTTAGCGAGCCTGAGGACGCCAGAGTAAACGATTGAGAAAGAAAAAAGCCCATCACTGCGAGGGTACTAGAAGATCACGGGCCAGGCAACGGTACTTGAGGATACATACTTATATATCGTACCACACCCCGCGCATCCCAGCACCTATTTTTTATTTATTTTCCTGGGTTATAGTTCGTCCACCCTGTAAACGTTATATCCAAGTCAGCACTGTCTGTCGTCAGTGGTTGTTCCTGTGCCGTACTCCCTGTCTTCGGAACACGTCCCCCACCAAACAAAAAACAACGCTCATCCTGCGCGCACCTCGCCCAAAGCAAAACACTCCAACGAGGCCACGTTCGAACCTCATTAAAATATCAAACACTGGTAAGGTTGCTGGGGGCAAGGTCTCCAGTGCACAGGATTCACGTTCACGACAGTGGCTGCCCCATATCATATCGACGAGTACCCTGGTCAGCATTATACCAATCGCCATTATCATCACCATAATAGCCAGTCGCCGTATATCTCACAGGAAAACGAGCCCCGGGGACTTGATTCCCTCGAAGACTTGAACGAGCCGCTGCTTCTAGTACAGCAGATGGCTCACCAAAGACCACCGCCACACATGAGCGGAGCAGGAGGAGGTCACCTTTATGGTCCGGGACTATCAACAACCTCTAGCAAACCAAGAGCCAGAACTCATGAAGCCTTAGAGTTAGATCTAAGTGGCCTCCGAGATGAGGAAGACGATCAAGATGTCGAACCACACTATCAGCATCACCCGCCCCCGTCGCATCACCAGCATCCCCAACATACACACCACCATCACATGCCCGATCAGCCACCACCTTCAAAGATCGCACGAACTGGTCCTGTTATGGGACCCGGTGGAGGCTCACAAATGGGAATGGCCGGACCTTCAAATGTTGCAGGTCCGTCGAATATGTCGCAAATGCCTGCACCAGCACCGAGACCACGGGGGCCAAAACTCAAATTTACCCCCGAGGATGATCAACTTCTAGTCGACCTCAAAGAAAACAAGGCGTTGACATGGAAACAAATTGCGGACTTCTTTCCTGGGCGGTCCTCTGGGACCTTGCAGGTCAGATATTGCACTAAGCTCAAAGCCAAAACAACACAGTGGACAGATGAGACTGTAAGAACCCCTAATCCTTTTTTGAAGGCCGAGAGATTTGCTTGGAAAGAAGCCTCTTTTTCGCTTCAGGCGCGTGTCGCTATTCGCTTGGGGTTTAGTTTTCTGACGTTGATGCGGGGGAATGAAGGTGTTACGGCTCCGCAATGCCATGGTCGAGTACGAGCAGGACCGCTGGCGTTTAATCGCAGCCAAGGTTGGCAACGGGTTTTCCCCAGCAGCTTGCAAGGAAAAGGCGAAAGAGTTGGACGAGCAATAGATCAGGAAATCGCTCATCTCAAAACGGAAAACCGATCACTATTCCGTCAGATAGTTCCCTTGCATCTATGGCTTGCAGCGCAGTGGCTTGGTATCTGCAGGTTGAGATGTGGTATGTTTATGGCTTTCGCTTCCATTTTATTCTGTTTATTTAGTTCTCAAATTTGCTACTGCGCACTTTATCTTGTGTTTTTGTTTGTTTATCTGGGCCGAGCGAGCGAGGGGAGTTGAAGTTATTTTTAGCCCAACGCCAATTTTTGGTTGGAGGCAAATACTGTAATTCGATGTTTTTGTAGGGACTATTGGCGTTCATCCTTCCTTCCATGCTTTATTATTGGATTTATTATCGATCTTCTTCCAAGTTCAATCCCGGATACCTTTTATTTATTCTTTTCCTTTTATTATTTTTTTCCCTGCGATTAATTCTTATTCCTCATTTTCTTTCTATTCTGCGATTCATCCGGCAACAGAGAGCGCAATTCGGTTTATTTCCCCCTCGGGATCGGGATATGACGGATGGGATAATATTGAGATCCCTCAGGACGGACGAAGGGAGGAAAAGTCGACTGATCGGGTATCGTTGGTGTTATGAGGGCGACGGGATATTGGGGATAATGACTGAGACTCTTTTCTTTTCTTTTTCTTTTTCTGTTTTTCTTTCCTTCTTTTCCTCCTGATGCACTCTTTCCAATGCATTTCTGGAAGGCTATTATAAGTCCGAATGTATCCTTTTTTCTTCTCTCTTTTGTAAACATCTTAGGTGGTGGGGAGGGGGGGCCGTATTTGTGTACTCGTATTCCTGTTTACCATACTTTTCCCTTGGATGGCTACTTCGGTATTAGCAAATACTCTTCCTATATCTTTGTCATTTTCGGTGTGGTTTTTTGTTTTTCGGTCATCTTTTAACTGCTGGTTTCGGGTTCCAATATATGTACCTCTACCCGCCCTCTTGCGTGGGGTTTGTGGGGGTACTTTGATCTCTTATGCGTGTACGTGTGTATCTGTGGTATTTGCTGTAGTGGGAGTTGCTTGCGATATCTAGCAGACATTTTTTCTTCTTCTTTTCCACCATAGAGGAGGCTGTATTAATAACAATATGGTTGCTATATTTGTCGATGGACGTTGAATGACAGCGAATTCAGCGAATTGGAAAAAGAAGTGGGTCGCGCCACGGCAGTCCAAGCAAGGAGGCTCTCCGGCTACCACCTTGCATAGATCCACTCCCACAACAGAGTTGATAGGCATGTTATATGTGCACCTTTTAATGTTAACAAAGAACGTCATATATACAAGTATCTTAACACAGCAAACAAAGAACAATATATACGTCACCGTACGTGTATGATTCCCGTGAGAGTTGAACATGAAATTCAGCATCAGATGGGTGATAAAAGAACCAACTAAGGGGGTAACCAAGAATAAGAAGGAGAGGGTGCAGAGGGATAAGAGAACAAGAGAACAAGAACAAAGTTCGGTACGAGTCAATGTAGCTTTTCAGGCACTATAATAATAAATAAATTGCCCTGCCGTTCTCCCGCGCGGCAGTGTCGCCGTCTTCGTCTATCTGCTGTGTTCGTGGGGTACCGGAGGTCGGAGTGGCTGATACAATGCCATTGTTGTCCCACAACCACCAACCGCTGGTAGAATCTTAGACATGATTAGATCTACGCCGGTTACGAATCTTACATCACTTCATACAGCGAAATCGTCTGATTACCGCGCCATTCAACTACAACCCATCAATCAACCCCGAAAAATCTCCACTCGATACCTTCCCCCCACATCCGACTGCACGACAATGCTTTTGCAACGTACTTTCGCCCTCGCTCTCCGAAGAGCAGCTGCTCCTCGTGCCGCCATTTCGTTTGCTGCGAAACGCACACTGGCCACTACCCCAATCCGCCGGGACATCAAGAAAGAGGTTGAGCAGAAAGTCAAGACCTTTAGCGGTACTTCGCCCATATATCAAAAAGTCACCTGAAAATACATTTTTTAATAAACAATCTATAGAGATCAAGACTGAGGAGGACCTTATCGGTCCCGGTGCCGCCCCCGGTACCGTCCCGACGGATTTTGAGCAGGCGACTGGTCTCGAGCGTCTCGAAATCCTCGGAAAGATGGAGGGTGTGGATGTTTTCGACATGAAGCCTCTAGATGCTTCCCGTCGGGGAACTATGGAGAACCCAATTGTCGTTCAGAGTTTCGGTGAAGAACGGTAATACCTCCCTCACTCGCCACACTGATCCAGCGCCACGCCTCTTCCCCCCCCCCCCCGCCCCCGCCAATTGTGGCAACAAGTGTGCTGATTCAACTGTACAGATACCTCGGATGCACTGGGTACCCAGCCGACTCGCACAACACAATTTGGCTTACTGTTTCGAAGGACAGACCAATTGTAAAATATCTTTGTCTTACCACATTGTTGACTGTCCCATCGCACTAACACGGATAGGAACGCTGCCCTGAATGCGGTGGTGTTTACAAGATGGAGTACATCGGCGCTGAGGCTTCGCACGACCACCACCACGATGAGCGTAAGTAGTCACCTGATTTTGTTTTTTGGTGTTGTTGTTGTTGTTGCATGAGCTCGGAAAAACCATCCGGCGAATGTGGCCTCTTCTTCTTCTTTCGTGATTATTTTGACTATCCTTGAGAGGAGGGACACAGCTGACAATCCATTCAATATCTTCTTTTACAGACCACACCGAACACGTCGACCCGCCTACCATGGCTGACTTTGTCAAGCCGCAGTACTGGTAGACAGATACCACTTGCACATACCACACATCACACCTAGCATCCAAGTTTGGATATTCTTTTGTAGAAAAGTAGAATAAAGTAGTTAGCACCCAGGCCTCTATTTAGCATTAGCTTCCGTTGTTGTCACTGCCTGCATTCATCCTTGGTCCTACATACCGACCTGTGAGACAGAAAGTTTTGGCTGTGATGACTTCCGGGATGGCTCATCAGTGCCATCTCTCCATCATCCATCGTTCCTATCCTGTGAGTCGTGAGTCCTGTCTGTAACCCGGGAATAGGAAGGCCTCATTAAAGGTCTGTGGACGGAAATATCCGTAAGGGTAGCTATTCGTTGAATATGCAATGCCCAGTGCGGTATGCGTTGTGCGAGATCGGCAGGCGGTTGACACTTGAAGTTCGCGTATCTAGGACTTTGAGTGGTGGTTGGGGCATGGCAATTGCAAAAGGAAACTAGGCACTACTACACAAGGGCAGTTGAATTCCAGGGGCTGAATAGCTGATTGGCTGGTTGGATGATCCTCCAGTGACATGACCCGAGCTCGACGAAGGTCAGGGACCCACAGCAGTATCAGAAAGGAAGCACCTGTCTTGAACTGTAATATTGTTATATCTCTTTTTTTGTGACCCGTTCCTTTTTCGTCTGCTATTCCCGTGGTGGCTACCCTGAATGGATATCTTGCTCCTTCTTGATCTTATTTCCTTTTTTTTCCCTTCTCATTTATCCTTTACGAGAAAGGTAGGTAGATAGTAAGTTCTCTTTTTTTTTCTTGCCATGTCACTCATGCTCATGCCTCTGCCTACGCAGGATTGTGTGTAATACAAGAATAGCATTGCAGTTTGTGCCTTGCCTTTGCGATTGAGCTCTACTATCTTCTACATGTTTGAGCAATTGCAAGAGTAGCCGGTACATATGTACATACATACTTCGTGTACCGGTACACGCACCTCACGAGATGATTTGTGCTCGTAATTGATATTACAAAGATGCCCTGAATTCAGGATCAGGCAGTAAGTCAAGTAAGTAGAAGTACATGTACTTACATGATACAGCCGCTCACCTACTGACGGCGGATCCTGTCTGATGGTTCTGTTTGCAGTAATTTGCCCTTGGCGTCCAAAACCTAACTCTTTTATTGGCCTCAAATCCCTGACCGCCATCAGACAGGATCCGCCTTCACCCCGTGAGTGACTGTACTTATGATATCTAGGGGTATGGGTGCGTGTCCTTATCCATGCTCTATCATCCATGGTACTCCCCCAAAGTCCACCCGCAATCCGTCTTGGTAGGTAGATAGATACCGGTGTCCCTTGATAGGTACCAATAACCGGTACCTGTATCACGATCATCGATCTCTTCGATTGTGTTACTGAACGTGAAACCTTCTCCCGCAGCTGGTTCTCCCGTTCCATTACATACATCCTATTTCCCTCACGCCTGGCGCTCAAAAAGAAAGTATGGGGGGGGGGTAATGGTGTTGAGAGAGAGAAAACAAGCTACAGATCACCGACATATCCTACCAGATGCATCGTTATCAAATCCTGCACCGGATATGATATCACTGTATAAGTAATCAAAAAATCAAAATGTTCCGTTCCTAAACGATTCTAGCGGCGAATCATCTACTACCAAGTGCACAACTAGGAAAACTCTATTTCACGCGCCCAATAAACACTCACCAAACAATCGACCATAAAAGGGAGCACATTGTAATTTCACTTTCATTTCTCTCATTTTGCTCTCTATTCAACCTGACCATGATTAACTATACCAGTCGGAATTATACATACATTTGTGCTCCATAAATCATTTTATAAATGCTAACTGAGAGAGGCAAGTATGAACAATTCCGTCGCCCCATTCCCCCTGGCATCGTACACTAAACTGTTACTATGCTTCATCCCCGACCTCTTTTGTGTAAAGTGCCAGATCTGTTGGAGCAGGGAAAGAAAGGCCTCGCCCACATTTGAATAAGATTTCAGGCATTTTCACCCCTACTACAATCATTAAGGGAAGAATTACTGCATCCAGCTCTAACATTACTTTCCCAGAGCCTCCTTGTACATAATTGTGCAGATCTTCCTCGCTGTCTCGTGGTTCACACACGGTTTTGGATATCCCAACTTCTTAAACTCTTCGATATCTAATCTTTCGAAGGGCGCATGAATAGCCTTCCCTTCAATACCTCTTAATTCCTCTACCCATTGCTTAATATAGACGCCCTCCGGGTCGAACTTCTCGCTTTGCCTCAGGGGATTGAAAATGCGAAACCATGGCTGCGGGTCTACCCCAGTACCGCTGCTCCACCCCCACCCTCCATTATTGGAAGCGAAGTCACCATCGATGAGGTGCTCCATAAAGAACCTCTCTCCTCTTCGCCAATCAACCAGGAGGTCCTTGCAGAGGAAGGAAGCCACGATCATACGTGCACGATTGTGCATGTGGGATGTAGTGAGGAGCTCACGCATTGCGGCGTCGATAATAGGGATGCCTGTGCGACCTGTGCGCCAGGCCTCGAACAAAGTCTCCGCTTCCGGCGTTGTAGGCCATTTGATTTTCGCGTAAGCAGGCTTAAAGGGCTTATTCATACTGCATGGCGGGGTAGAGATATCAACAGGAGGTGCATACAGCAAGTGTAGGGAAGTATCTACTAACCACACGTGAGGCCAGTTGCATAAAACATGTTTGTAAAAATCCCTCCAAGCCACTTCTGATATCCAACTGTAATTGATACAGTCAGCCAGAGGTAACAGATATATTGTCAAAAGTGTAGATAGCAAAGCTAAGCCAGACAGCAAAGCCAAGCCAAGCCAGACAGACAGAAAAGTGGTTATGATACTATGGTTGCTGTGGAAACCATGGAAGTTTGTTTACACTGTCTACTGGTTTCAAAACCACCCCCCTCAAGAGGAATATTGGGACTTTATTACTCACGTTATAATCCCCATACTCCCTGCGTTTAACTTCTTCGTGGTGTTAGCATCTCTTGCTGCTGCCACAGCCTGTCTCGCCGATAATGTGCCGTTTGCAAAGTGAACACTGAGCATACTAGTGCCTCTCTCAGAGAGGGTGTTCCTGTCGTCTGAGTATCTTGCAATTCTTTCGCTCAGGAACTTTTTCAGCCTTTTGTGAGCAGCGTGTTCACCAGCTGGGAATCGACTTGCGAGGTCTGTGGCCTCTTTGGACGATAAAGACTTTGACTCAGGTGCCGATGGAATTGGGGAGTTGAAAAGCGTCGAGTGGATCTCGCGTGTCCTTGATGGGTTCGCAGCTGGTGGAGGAGAAACTTCAAGAACTTCAGGATGGGTATGAACGTACTCCGTCCAGGTGCGAAACCACGGAGTGTAAACAGAGAACTGTTTCCCAGTCGACTACCATTGCGATAAATATGTCAACCATTGTACGATAAACATGGGTCGAAATGCATTATACCTTTGTACTCAATTCCCCAGGCTTCACAACACAAAGGTCATGGTGCACGCTAAAGCATATGCCTCTCGCCACACCTTTCCTGATGATGTTCACATCCCGTCGCAGCTCGTCAACTTCGTACTCAGCGTTTGCGTAGACATGGTTGGCGCCCCATTCACTCGCCAGTTGTAAAACGCGGTTCTGGATATTTCTACGGCGCTCGACAACCTCGATGTAGAGTGGTATGTCGAGCTTATCCAAATCTTGTTGTAGGATCTTTAGGCTCCTGAGTATGAAGTCCACTTTAGCTGGGCTCGTGAGATGAGCTTCGAAATCTTCTGGCGAAATAAGGTACATGGCGATAAGAGTCGCATTCACACCACTCTCGCTGGTTTGGGCCATTGTAGAGGCGAGATTCAAAGCTGTATTATCTGACAATCTCAAGTCTCCACGAAACCAATGAACGACAGAGCGGCCCAATAGTATCTGATGGCGGGCGTTCGATGTTTCGACCAAAGCTGCTTTAAGGGCTTCAATAGGTCGTTGGCGATCCCCATTTATGTATTCATGTGCACACTCGTCTGATAGTTCTGGTGGGTAGTACTTTCGAAGTATCAAGCCGCCTTGACTATCGCCATTGTATTCAGGAGTCTTTAGTTCGAACGAAGTCGTTTCTGCTGCTGTGTTGGGTTCTTCGAGGCTTGCCTTTGGGGGAGAATCCTTTGTTAGGATTTTTTGTGCCTTTCTCGTGCGAGCCTTAGTAGGAGACGCTCTACGTTTTGGCATTATACTGGTAGTTGTTAAGGTATGTGGGTCAAGCTATAGAGTTCGACTTTAGGCGTGTAAGCAGAAGACAGTAGAGAAGGAGGATGGTTTGCGAGAGAATTGTACCATACCAGTGAACCTTGGATCTATCCAAGCCGAAATGGATGAGGGCGAGAAGCAAGGAACGAGACGCGTACGAGGGAGGGCGCGCGCTGGTAGCATGTTGTTACAAAGCTAAATTTGGGGCGGGCTCGAGACACTCTGCAAGAAAGGCCGGCCTGATGACGGCGCGAACACTGCACAGGGCGATTGACTAAGGACCCGGCGATTTGAGTTTGCGGGAGACGCGATTGAGATCGAGATCCTAGATAAGCGAGGTAAGGGTTAGGTTAGCCTATCTTCAGGGTCCTGGTTGTCGGGTCAATCATTCATAATATCTCACTCGCTTACCTGATGGGAGATCACAGGCCATCACTCATTTTGGGTCCACATCTAGAACTTCTTACGGGCTCGAAGGTAGGTTGTAGCTACCATGCTCTTAAAGAGTGTTTAGGGATGAAACTAAGGTGCGGTTGCCGTTACTATATGTAATTTTCTAGGAGCGTAGAGGTATGGTGGGGGCAATTTCCAGTACATTCACTCAGAATCACTCTCCAGCAGTAACAATGTATATAATACTGCAAATTTTAACAGTTATTTTAATTTGAGCCACGGTATGCTCCTCAGTGTACTATACAGGCGACAGACCCAAGGTAACTACATGTGGTGACCAATGTACACCTGATAATAGCGCACTGTGATACGGAGGCCCCCCACTCTGCGAATGCTTTTCCCAGCTCAAGTCATTAGCTCGGATACTTTGTGTTTGGCGTGATAACAGCCCGTAGGAATAACCTGGCACGAGACTCCATCAAAGTACCGGTATAACTGGTGGCAATCGGTGAGGTGATATCAGATGAGCCCCGTTAAGAACAAACACCTACGAAACATGTCGCCAATGTCTGATGTTGATTCGGGACTAGCTTTTCGACGTGCATCGGGGTCTTTTCAACGGTCTTCAATGATATGACGCTGGATTACGCATGATATTACATCCCACAAACATACAGATGTGTCCCCAAATCACAATATACATCTAATTGACCAGATAATCTCATATTCCTTTGATGATCGATCCTTGGTTAGTTGATTCAATGGGCGGTAAATGATAACGGTCACTTGAGCCCGTAAGCAAAACCCGGCTGAAGGGAAGTTTAACAGTTTCTGGTTCTAACCGAGCACTAACAAAGGGACTGAGTGTGGAGCGGAGTATGAGCTCGTTTTTCTTCATTTTGTGAGTACTGTGACCAATCGCAGAATTGTGTCTGTTGCAGCATTCTGCCTACATACACTAGTTTTTTTCCTTCTTGTTGCAACGCCACACACCGTTTCGATTGGGCACCTTATTTGTAATTATCCGCCCTTTTGCATTTGATTTGATAGTTTAACTGACGTAATAATTAATTTTATAAACCTTGTAATCTTTTTCTTTTTTCAATTATCTTTACTGTATTATATTTATTAAGGAAGATTGACACCAAGCGATTACTCAGGGTCATAGGAAATCACTCGGTTCACACAGCCAATCATTCTTAATCACTTGATATCGTTTTCGGTGAGTACAGTTTTATGCGTGAATTTAAAGGTAATAGAAAAATGCTTTGGACGTAACCATCACGAATCCAAAGCCATTGAACGTGAAAATTGTATAACACTCACTATAGGAATTTAATTGGAATTGAATATGTAGATATAGATATTATCCTATCTACTAAATTTGTCCACAAAACCGACTTTAGTGTTATAACATCACATATAAAAGCAGTAACTGGCAGTCTATGTGTATGATTAGAACTTTAATCTCTTATCAAAAGCCTCCTTAGGTATATTTACTAGGTATATATAGATGTGGAACTCCATGTCCTTAGAGCCAGAAAAACCCACTTTGGCCACGGCGCCGTGAACTGTGTTTGAACAGATTTCTACTGCATGATCATGATATACTTGTATCTTCTACCGAGGTTTATCCTTCTCTGGGTCATTAATCTCATCTTCCTATCTCGTCCTCAGCTTGGGGTCGATCCAGCTTGTGTATGCACCTATCGCGGGGGTAAGAAGATCGTCTCACAACACCTTTAATTTGTGCCGTCATATCCTTCCCTCTTTATATTTCTCAATAATGGGCTACTGATCACGAAGGGTTTGTGCATTATTCCTTCGGCCTGGCGACCGCTTGAGTTAACTCGTGCTACAGACGTCGTCTCATAACCACGGCATGATAGACAAATTCCTGAAAAATTCATCTCCTGATACATATGTACATCCCCTTCTAGAAGCCCCGTTCCCGTATTTTGTTTGACGTAACACGGCAATCTCTAAAGAAGGCACAGGCTCATTGCGCAATAGTCCTAAACCGGAAGGAAGGCCTTCATTATGAAACGAGTCAAGTCTCGTAGGATATAATGATCGACTCAAACCCTAACCCCACTAGACACAGGAAAGTTGATATTCACAATATATCACTCGGATCTTATTATGCCCCCACAAAAAAGTCAACTCCGCAACCAAGTACTAGCTATATATCCAATTACTTGTCCCCCTAAACGGAAATGGAAAAATCCTGAATGCACCGCGCTGCCTGCTGGATGAATAAAAAATGGGAAGATCAAGGGAAAATGAACAAGGAAATACAAATAAAGAAAAAACGAGACGCCGACTCCGACTCCGACTCTCCTGACATAATTTGCTCGCAAGACAAGAATATTAAAGAAAAGAAATGCCAAAATCTAACAAACAAATAGAAACAATCCTAGTGATGAAGTTCCGATCCAGTCGCCCACCCGTCCCAGTACATGACAATTTATATAACAAACGAAATAAAGAAAGAAAAAATATGGATAGCAAACCGCCAAGACCCACCATTTCTTCTCTTCAGGCTTTCACATCCATACACTCTTTTCTTCCTCCTGGGACAAAATAGATAAATAATCACTCCAAAAGATATGTAGAAAATATCGCAGAGAAAGGGTCAGGTCAAGGATACATCGCACCAATCCACATATCACTCCGTCACATCACACCAAAACCTCAAGTTCCTTTTTTTCCCAAATACAAACCTCGAAGGAAACCGACACCCCCGCCCCCACCCACAAAGGAAACCAGCAAGGAAACAAGCAAGGAAACCAATACGTCACTAACAGGAAAGAAATCTTTGTCGTGTCATCGTCTTCTATCGCCCGCAACCACATCCACCGCCACAATCTCAAACCTGATGTTTCTTCTCCAAAGCTGTGTGCACTTCTCTACTCCCCCGTTTTCGATCCACCGAATTAGGTTCTTGCATTGACTAACGTCAAATACCTCCAGGTTATGGCATCCTTCTACAACAGCTTCGACGCCTACACCAGTGACGCGGACGCAACCCCGGACTGATAGTTCCCGGAGCTCTAGCAGATGAAGACCAATTGCTCGCAGCGAGGAATCAGAGACCGCAGAGCCGCAAAAGGAAAGTTTCAATATTGACAAATGGGGGCAGCCGAGGGAGAGGACTTCCGTTGCTGTATCTGAAAGTGCACAGCAGAAAGACTATTTGGATTTCATTGATCAGCCTTTAGGTACGAACATGGGTTAAGAGATTGGAAAGTAAAGAAAGGGCGAGCAAAAAATATGATTGCAATGGATTGGAAACACGAACCAGGTCTAGAACTCGCAGTCCCTTTGCCGCATTGGTCAAAAACACCACCGCACTGTCCGTGAGATATGTACAATCCGCCAAACACAGACTCCGTAACTTCTCAAATCTCGTCATACTCCAGCTCTGAAATCCTTGATCCGTTATTGTCGTACACCGCGTTAAGTCCACATGCTCCAGCCTCTTTGACGCATGCGCAGCCAAGTGCGACATTGTCCTGTCTGTGACATGTTTGCAGTAGCTCAATGTTAAACGCCTTAAATTAGGACACCCTATAACTGTACCCGGTGGCGGGAAGATCAATGGCTGCTTGTTTGCCGCAGCGGCTGCCGCCTGCTGTTCCGCATACATTGGGTGGAACTCGGGGACCACCCATCCAACCACCCGTGCCAGAAGCGTGTCACTGACCTTCCGGCAATTGCTCAGGTCAATCTCTTCGAGTCCCTTTGCACGGTTGGACATCTCCAGGATTGCCTGACCGGTGATGTCCCAAACGCTCTTCATCTTCCATGTCTTCACGTTGGCTCCGCAGGTCTGGGCTAGCACTGTGAAGCCTTCGTCACTGATGTGGAAACAATTTGAGATGTCAATTAGGGAAGGCCTGTGACCGACGAAGGGGGCAATTGCGTTTATGAGCACAGCATCGTTGATAACGCGGTTGTAAGGACGCAAGTCAAGCGTTTGTAGGAGATAGGGTGAGTTGCATAATAGCTTAGTCCAGTGCGCCGAGACTTGACGGACACGCATCAGTTCGTGCAGTTCCATGTGCTTGAAAATGTGTATCAATATATCATCCCCAAATTGCCCGATATTAAATCGGGATGGCTTTCTTGACAATATCCTTGCTCTCTTTGGCGCCGAATGGTGCTCCGGAGGTGTAGTCGCATGCTTCGACTTCATTGGTGAGGGTGCAGTGACTCCGGACAAGGGGCTCGCCTCTTCCTCGGTGGGTGAAGAGTTCCCTGAAGTGCCCGCGGACTGCTGGGGCGGTGGGGCGAGTGAGCCTCTCCTTGACTTTGCTCCAAAGGCCTCAAAGTTAATTGGCAGATAAGGATCTGGATCAAAGGGCTCGACAAGATTTCCATCATGAGGACTAGCAACCACTTTGAGCGGTTCCTGTGAGACACGAGGAGAATTCTGTCGATCTGACAAGTCTAGTTTCGCAATAGTGGGCGTCGGTGGAGCATCTGTCATGACAAGATTCTCACCATCTGCATCCATTCTGTGTCTGGCCGTTGATTCGAGTTGCTGTTGGACCTCCGGCGGGCACTTCTTCCACAACTCCGCCAAA